TCCTCTTCTTGGACGAGGCGGCTGAAAGCGAGAATAGCCTTCCGCATGCAGCCCGCCCTTCCACGGCAGCGTCCCTGAGCGAACGCTCGGCCCACAACCTTCCCCAACATCACAGCGGCGCGCCGCGAACGCGCGCGCCGTCCCGCAAACGCTCGATATCCCATTGCTATAGGAAGCGCCCACAGCCTTCCCCGGCCCCGACAGCGCGCCCAAGCTCAGCGCCCCGTCCCTGTCCACGGCAGCATCGCCCCGAACGCTCGGTTCTCACTGGCCCCACGAACACTCGGCGCCCCTTCCTCTTCCCGAGAAGGGCTTTCCCGGCAACGTTCGGAAGTGATCGCTGCCTGCAGGAAGGAAACACCGAACAAGAACCCAACCCCGAGGGTCGAGGGGAATCATAATCAGAGGTTGTAAGTTAGCAGCTGGGAGGTACTGGCGAACTAGAAAAACCAGGCCCCTCGACAAGTGTAGGGCAGTACTCCCTTGTTGTTGTTAGTTTCCTTGTGGGCTGTTTTGGTGCATCCCGCACTCGAGTGTGTGTGTGTGTGTGTGTGTGTGTGTGTGTGTGTGTGTGTGTGTGTGTGTGTGTGTGTGTGTGTGTGTGTGTGTGTGTGTGTGTGTGTGTGTGTGTGTGTGTGTGTGTTTGTGTGAGAAAGGAAGCTGCGTCCCTCCGCTCCTGATCCTCATCTGAAGTAGGTCCTGCATAGGCCAGTACACATTCACCGTGTTGAGGGAGTTCGGGGCTGCATTTCTGCATGAAGGTTGTGCCTAGATCCAGTGCCACTTAGACTAAAACCCACAAGTAGAATAGGAATCTCTCCACAGGATCACTACCTTTCGCTTCCAGCCTCGAATCTCAAAGAAACCTGTGGTGCAGATGCCCGCCAAGAGTACTGGAAGCTGGACAACGACCGTTTTCGAGGAGTTGCCCGGAAAGGACACGGGGTGAAAGATGCTTGTGAGGCTTGTATTTTCAGGGTGTAGGCGTGCAGGTTTGTTTAAACTTTACAGCAAAGCCGTCCAGGAAGTCGATGTCTCACCACTGCTGTATGCACAGCTTGGCACAGCATTTTTCCCTGCATGAAAACAGTCCCCAAAATCTGATCCCCGATACAACGAAACCCCAAAGCTTGTTAGTGTTCCCCCCAGGATGACCGGGCACCCACGGTCGTCGCTCCGCGGCTGGAGCCAGCGAAGTTCACCTCCCAGAGTATGACCGGGATTCGGATTGAAGGTTTAGAGCGCTAATGTGAGGCACAGGGCAAACAGCTCAAGGTGAGGGGTTCAGGGATTGGACATCTGAGGTTTGTTGGGGTTCCTGGGATTGCAGTGGTTAACAGCTCGGCAAGGATGGGTACAGGAATGCAAGTCAAAGTGTGGAGATGCTGGCATTCGTTAGAGGTTGTCGGGATTCAGCGATGTGAAAATTTCCCTTTCGGTCGCAGACGGCTTTGTAGGGTGTCGCCAGCCAACCTTAGCCAGAGCTGTCTGCAGAACACGGAGATTTCAGGGCCGCACCCCTCGAAAAGACTTGGCCATGAGAGAGAAACAAAGCAGAACGCTAGCCCAGGCCCCAGCCGCTCCAGCCTCCACTTGGCCAGATCTTCAGAAGCTTAGACGACGTGAGGCGGCTGCTTTGCGCCTCGCGACACTGCGCTAGGCTGTAAATCACTCGAAAGCTATAGATCCTTTGATGGAGCTTGCAGGAGTTGTTTACAGAGAGTTCAGGAGGCCCGTGCTCCTTCAGAGATACCGTGTCAAGGCACCAGACAGACAGCAGAGCCGTAGCACAGCAACATAGTCACAGCCTACATCTGCGCAACTGAAGACAGCAGCATGGCCCAAGACGGTTTCAGGTTCCCTGCGCAGACATCACACGCATCGACGAGTTCGTAGGGGCATACACAAACGTTTCAGAGTTGTGCATGGAAGAGGATTTTCCACTGTCGGCATCTGTAGCTATCCGAACAACTATCGCCCCCGCGTCACGCCGGTGACCTCGGCCAATCATGGATGTGTCTTGAAGCCCAGGGCAGCTAGGATCTTGGAGTGATTGCTCCGTATGTAAGTTTTAGGAGAGCAGTTGGAGCGATCCCTCCATGTTTAAGTTTTGGGGATGGAGCAGGTGCGGTATTTGCAACATTACTTTATTCAGCCAAGACTGGACACGGACTCAGTAAACAACAAGGCGAAAGGGTGTGTACTAATCTGTCGCAATGTAATGACAGACATGCAGAAGAGCTTCCGTCGCGCAGCACCCTGGGCGTCAAAGAGCTTTCGAAGGAGCCGGAGGTTGATGCAGGCTTGGCCAAGCATGGCATGCACATCTGCAGAGTGAAACGCGGTTGATGGACTTGATGCCTGAACAATGCCCTGAAGGAAACCCCCCGTGTAGGACAATCCTGAAGGCTTGAGTCATTGAGGAGAATGTTGAAAAGACTCAATCTATGTTAGACCTTGCGTCCGAGAATCTCAGCTTTGGATCATGTAGGATCTGGGGCTTTCATTAGTCGACCATGGCCCTCCACCCGCCTCACACTCGCACTGGCCCCGCAGGCCCCCATGGCTCTAAGCCCCAATGCGGCCAGAGATAGTTCGATCAAGCATTGCAGAGGGAACAGTTTTGGATTTCTTGTGGACGTGAGGTTGGGGAGGGCAGGGCTCAGCTCACAAGCTGATTCCATCAGAGACCGCATGCAATGTGGTTTCGCAAGTCGCTACACCCATCAAATGCTGCCCCACGTGGTTTCCTTTCTGAGGGCCTGGACCTCCAAAGTTTGAGTAGGGGAAGCTTGTAATCTGCTCCAAATATGCAATTTCGTGTGTTCAGGGGTTTGCGTTGTTTCACACGGAGGTGCGCGTCGATCTGTCGCAAGGTGTGCGGCATGTGCCGGACGGGGGCCTTCCATCGATGCTGAGTCTCACGATGCTCCTTTTCATCTCCCCCCCAACGCCGTTCTAAAGTCTCTCTCGATTGCGTTACCCGCACAGTGTCATAGCCAGGACTGGAAAGGGAGCAAGCAGTCTTAGAAAACCCGCATGTCTGTAAGACATCGACTTTCAGCGGCACGCGTGTTTGTCAGGTCGCAAAGGCACGGCAAGCTCCTCGTCAACCGAGTACGATGCTTTCGGCACAGGCATAGCTGGACTGTCGCGGTTGGTTCCGACACTGCTTGAACCAGTCTGACCGACCGGTTTTGTTGCTCGTTTCTGCAGTTCGAGTTACACACCTGACAGCTGTCAGTACACGCAACCCGTGACAATCCGTGCCTGACCTCCTGAACGTTCCAACTTGCGGGTTCGCTGATCCAGGACCTGACCCCGTTCCTTTGAGATCGCCTTCTCGTGAGAGGAGCACGCTGAATGGAAGTTCGATGTGGGGGGTTTCGGGTTTAAGATGGTTTAAGCCTTGGTTTGGGGTTAGAACGGGGTTCATCTGTGAGTTAAGTAAGGGGTTCAGGGCTGAGGGTTTGTGCTGGAGATGGGTACAAGATGCAGGTTAGAGTCACCACATGGTGCTAATCTAATGTTCCGAAGCACGGTCTGCTATGGATTTTTCAGGAAGAAGGCGAAGTCAGTGCCACTCGTTCCGAGCACTGCCAGGCTGGATCGGTAGGGTTTCCAGCCTGTCCTGCTTGTCAAACCAGTCTACGGCGTTTCGGCTTGGGAGTTGAGCAGGTTCTCAAGACAGCTTTAGGCAGGGAAGCCACTGGAAAGTCCGAAGATCGGAAACTAGAGTCGTTCGATGGTGAGGTCGGGCTAGGAAGGTGCAGAGTGAAACTTTCTACCGCAACGCAAGAGTCCGGGAAGCATTAACTTGGACGCAAGAGCCGTACGAGTAGTAGAGATTCTGTAGAGACGACACGGCCGCAACAATACAGTCTCAGCATACCATGAACAGAGCGTGCCTGACAAGCACCTTCGGATGGGAATGCAAAAAGCCCTCAAGTTTGATAGTCTGGTAGACTTGGCAAGATCTGCCCCAAAAACCCTGTAATCGAACCAGCCCGGGCACAGGCCGGAGTGAATAACCTTCAGCCCTTAGCCCAACACTTTCGGCCCAAAAGCCTTCAACCCTGAAGACCTTGAGCCAAAGGTTCTAACCCTCAAATCCCGAAGCCTGTAATAGCTTTGTCACCTCCAGGGATGCAGGTGGGGAAGCTTGTGGCCCAGCTCTCTTCCGTGTGCCATGGTGCTTTACAGCAAACTAAGCTTTGCGAGCTCAGGCGTGAGGAGGCTTAAAGGTTCTTCAGAGTGCTGTTGGCATGTCCCGTTTTGGGGGGGGGTTGGGAGCTTCTGAGTATGACACACGCTGTGCATTTGAAGAAGTCCCTGTATGCTTAGTATATCATTGCAAGGCCTGGCGGCAGCAAAATCTTGGCAATGTGATATGACTCTGTAATGTGAAACACAGCATGTGAATCTGCACTCTTCAGCTCTGCATCTGAAGTCTGCTAGAATAAGAAGGGCAAGGAGCCTGACGATGACCGCACGATGGTGGTAAAGTGGCGATGATGACGACGGTGATGATGAGGATGAGGATGAGGATAGGAGGAGGATGAGAAGGAGGACGTGGAGGAGGATGATTGGTGACAACGATGGTGCACATGGTCTTCACATGGCCGTGCATCCTTGTCATTGTCCAACCAGAGCCGGTGAATTACTTTGCCCTGCAGACCAGAGCACGAAACATTGCGACGAACCGTGGTCGTATCGTCTGGCCAGCTTGGTCATGAACGCGAGGAAGATTATTCTAAGTGTTGTTGAGCAGAACTTAGGAAGAGGCTTCGCATTCGCCTAGCCTTTCGATCATTAAATGAGAGCTGGTAGCGTGTTAAACTCAATCGAAGCATATGTTCACCGCCATTTTAACTACTCTCCTACGTTCCAGGCTCCACCTGAAGCACGGCAAGATGTCCTAAGTGCTTGGTTCGCGGAACCCTCTTTGTCGCTGCAGTTTCTCTCCAGCTGCAGTCTCCCGATCCCAGCTTGCTTTTGAGGCGCCCGGTGCCGGAACAACGACGCATCCCAAAGAGAAGAGCGCAGGTGGCGTTTACAGGGTTGATAGCCCGCTTGGGTTTGCTTGGCTTACAGTCGCAATATGAACATGAGTAATTACGGGCAAGGGCTTCGGAATCTGAAACGCATTGTTTGGTCGCGTGACTAATGACTGTCGTAGGAAAGCTGAGGAGTGTTGGCTTGAGCTGTGACTGCACGCAACAGGGCCCGCAGAAACGTAGTGCTGCAGGGGGGGCTGCAGGCGGAGCCCCAGGCAAGTAGGGTTTAGAGAAACGGCAGTGTCACCCCTCGTGTTCAATCCGTTCGGCTGGAGTCGAGAATCGATATTGGGCCCGTTTTGATGCTTTCAGTTGTTGGGGTGTCTCGTTGGCTTGCAGGCCTCGAAGATCCTCCTCCGCTGATGCCCACTCGCCATGTGCTCTCCGCCCCGGATGCGAGCAGGCCAGGGACGTGCGTTGTTAAGACTGCTATGGCACTGCCTTTTAAAACGGATGGCTTTACGCAAAGAGGCTGTGCCAAGCTAAGATTCCTTGCCTGGTACCGTAGCGGTTTCTTATATACAGGACCCCCAAACAGCCTCAGGCTGGGCTGCCACATAGGATAGAATCCCTCTATCGGAGCTGAGCTGACGTTTGCCTTGGTGCATTTGGTGACCCCAAAACATATAAGCCCTGAATGGCCTTTAATGCTCCTGTGACAGATCCGAACAAGTGGACTTGATTGCACCGAGCCACGGGGACGATTTACGGGCAGAGATCCCGACCTGAAGAAAGCTGCGAGGGCGCCTGCAGAAGCTTCCTCGGAGGCACGGGAACTTGGGCCGTCGCCGGGTGACGAAAGTCGAATTTCGTGCTTGCGGCACTGCGGAGCCTAGCCTTGCGGGTGAAGTTACCGCTCCAGAATCCCGATATCTGTTCTGACACTGGGAAATGCTTCAGCTCCACGCCGGCTTTAGACATAGTTTGCATGCTGTCAAGCCGAGGCTGGATTTGTGTGCGAGGTTTGCGGCAAACCCGTATGTCAGAGTGAGCCGAATCCAGGCACATGCAATAAGCTCCTCCCATGCGCCCGGCAAGAGACATTAGGCAGTTTCTGCTGTTTCCAGGCCAAAGATGCAGCTGGGAAGCGCCGACTCCACAGCTCAGGGCTCGCGTAGTTCCGTGATTCATAACTTCCTCTGCTGCTAGACATTGCTGTTGTGAATGTAGACATGGACGCTGGCACCATCCGACACGCCGGGCTCAGGTCAGTGTGCCGGTGTGCCCAAAGACAAAGAACCCAAGCACCGATTCAGCACCTCAACCACCGAAAGCCTCTGCGGTTGAGAGTTTGAGCTAATGCCTGCAGGGTCTCAGGATGCGATCCCCCTACTCAAAGCTCATCAAGTCCTCTTGCCTACCATAACGTCTAGGACCCGAAACCTTGACTGAGTTGTGGTTGAAAGAAGCATCGAATCTGTGGAGCGAGACCCATGGCCCCAGGTGATGGAGGAGATCCTGAGGCAGACAAGAGCAGGCCAGGACCCCTTCGGCCCTTCGCCTTCGAAGTTGGCACCATGGCACCACGTATTCATCGTCGGCAGTAACTTCTCTCTTGCATAACAGCCTAAACCCCAAACCGTGCACCCGCGTCAGCCGAAACACTTGTCAGACATGCACCCGGAGCACTGGGTCTGAAACCGTCGCAAGGATCCGTACTTCTGATTCGGGATCTAGATAAGAGAGTTGCAGCGAAGGGTGAGGGGTTTCAGCATGTATCAGTGTACATGTATAGGATAATACAGACATGTTCTTGCAGCGAAGCCGGGGTGAGACAGATCAAGAGTGAATGCAGACTGCGGATGTTGTTGCTCCGGATTGCTTGGCCGAAGCAGCCAAACCCGAAGCAGCCTGGAGTGCAATCTTGTGCATGCACTTGTGCATCCAGAGCCCGAGACATTGCCCTTCAAGCTTTGACCTTTGAGCACTAGTACTGCGCAAACAGACTTCTGTCTTGAGCCTGCTCCAGGCAGCAGCCTTCTCCAAAGGCCGGGTGGCCGAAGGGTTCAGAATGCCAGAGTTCGGGATGTTGGACATCGAAGTCCTAGGTAAAGGAGTGGCGCAGTGGGTGTGCGCAGTTCAGTTGGTTCAAGTTCAACAGGCTGCGGACGAAGAAGAGAAAGCCTTGGCAAATAGCATGGCCCTTGGAGTTCATGGCTGTCTGGTCATCACGGTGTCACCACATTGTGTCCGCAACAGCGTTGTTCATATCTCTTCTGTGCGGGGTCGAGTACTATCAGTCTCTTTGCATCAGAGCAGTGAGCTCCCGGCAGTCTTTAGGAATCGCAGAACTAGCAACTAGCACGAACAAGTTGACGATTCGTGCCAGCTCCTAATTGCTGAGTGTGAACAGCAGGATCGAGGCAATTCTCGAACACGCCCACATAGCTCCAGCAGTGGCAGCGTCACGGTCGAAGGGGCGGGCGGCGGCGGCGGCTAGCTCTGGGCAAATCTGAACAGTGGCCTCCGGCGTTTACAAATCCACCGCTTCAGTCCGCTGTCCAAGGCATCCCGAATGGATCCAGGTTGCCGGATGCCAAGTCGATTCGGGGATGCAGACTCTAAAATATATATGAATATTTGAGTGCACCCTCGACTGAAGCCGAGCACTTTTCAAGCGGGCCGGCGGGCTGGTGAGCAGCTACAGTGTCCCGCTAGAAAACAGGCCTGTCATCCGCCTGACGACAATCTTCCATGGTCTCTTGAGTTATCGCAGGCTTTGTCGTACCATTCAGCATATACTGTGAACGGGGCTTTGTTTGGAGGCTGACGGCAGAGGCTCCGCACACGGCGAAGGCAAGGCGGCAAGACATGCCTTGCAGCCGGTACCCTTGCGCAAGTGTCGCTTCTTGGTAGCTACTTGCAGGTTTAACCCCGCAGTTTCGTGCCAGACGGCCGCTGCAGGTTAGCAGCAAGTAATTGTTGAATCGCATCAAGTTGAGGCTGTTCAAGCGGCGGTTAGTTCGCAGCCAGATTTCCGTAGTGTGCCCTGACGCTGTTGCAGGCTGTGGCTTCCAAGCCAGAAGGTGCCGATCGTTTGTGGATTGTGGTTCGAACCGGGATACCACAGTCCCAGCATGCTGTCCGTAAACTCGACACGGCACAGGATGGAGCTGCAAATACTTGAGATGCCCAAGGGCCGGCCAACCCGACTTTCAAGCTCCAGGTCTGGAAACAAAGCGATTGCTGCCGGAAAGATACACAGACGAAGCAGACGCGGGCATTCCCTACCCCAAAGCCGTGGCTCCTGCTGCTCCGACCAAGTGCAAGCGCAACTTCAGGGTCTTCGGCCACAAGCGAGCCGAAGCCAGACGCAGAGCCGTGATGGCCTCGGAGACCGTCGGCGCATGCTGACATGGAGTTGTTGATGAAAGCTGCCGGGCCTAGACTCTACCGGCAGACTGAGCGTGAGTGTTGGGCTTTGGCAATACATTGCCAAAGCCTGGTTTAGGATTGGGTGCCTTCATGGGTCGTCTCAAGCATTTCACAGGCTTTATGTCCGCTATACTTTCCTCCCATCGCAGTCATGCACAATCACCATCACCGTCACCATCGTCAGCAGCAAAAGGATCAGCACCTCGCGATAGTCATCCTCACAATCCGATCACCTCGCCAGCACCAGCGGCGCGGACGGATGCCAGTTAGGGAGCCAGATTTTGTGTGGCTTGTTCAGAGGCGGGTCCTGTAGGTCGGGGTTTGGAATCTAATTACGCCCGGTGGTAGCATGAGCAAGATCGGCGCAGCAGGCCGCTGTTGCACATATCCTCCTGCAAGTGCGCGAACAAGACTGCCACAGGAGCGACATGTTGTCTTATCATAGTGACAGCTGCAACAACGCGCGTTGTGGGCTTCCCTTAGCTCGCGCCCCCCAGGTCTCAGACAGGTCTCAGGCTCCTGACATGTACCATCACAGTTAGCTCTGACCTCGCTTATAGACATGGGCAGCAGGCGTTACCTCGTAGCTGTGTCCGTGGTAGTCTGAACCTTCGCCACACTGGCCTCCTGATGCCGACGTCGTTACACCGTTACACTGTCCTCCTTCAACATTGTCGGTGTATTCCTGCAGCATTTTGGAAAGGCCGCCGTCAGAGGAGTCCTGCGATGAGGAGAACGAGGAAGAGGCAGAGGAGGAAGATGCTGCCGGCGAAGGCTACTCTGAATTAGGCTTCCCAGTACTGTGTATTGTCGATTTTGATTTTCTGCCGAGGCTTGTTGGGCTTCATGGCACGCCCACGTAATCTCGTTAGGAATTAGCCTCGCTTCGTAATCCATGCACGGAACACATCAGTGTGTGAGCCACGACAAGCCTTCAGCAAACTCCACGATTGAGCCTCCCTTCCAGGCTCCGAATCACAGTCTTCGGGTGGCGAAAACTCTGGTGGAAGCCAGGCAGCGTGCAGAATCCAGGTTCACTTTACATGAGTTTGCATTTGCACCTTTGCGGTTCGCAGTCCTGCTCGGATGCCAGACGATGCCCTCATCATGAATCTTATACAAGCATTGGGCTATCTAGGACTGATCCGTTGAGAAGTGGCTTTACTTCTCGTTCTTAGATGGGGCGAGCTGTGGATCAGCGAGGCTCCGACGTCTCCGGCGCAGGCGCCAGGCCTGCCTCACAATGATTGGGAAAGCTGAGACTTCAAAGGGCAGTGCAGGCTTTACACATGGAGAAGAGGAGATAGTGGAAAGTCCTGGAGACTAGCACCCCGGAAAAGAGGTAAGTTACCAGCAAGCCTGCGTGGAAGCTTTTGATGGGTGAAAGGTATTGTTGACGAGGGAGGCCATTGAGAAACCGTAGATGCCACCGCATCTCGGAGATCTCGAGGGGGACACATGCGCTCACACTTTGTTGACTAACTTGCACAGAAGCCAGCATGAGCAATTTAAAGCTACTTGTAAACGAAGCCCCGTTCCCTAAGTAAGACAAACCCGAAAACAACATTCCAAACTATCAGTCCTCGACTGAATAGAGAAAACCTACGGCAAGAGCCTTCACGGCAAGACCCCATTATTTTCGAGCCCAAAACATTGAACAACAACCTGCACCCTGATACTCGCCGTCAGCCATACCTTAAGCCACGATTAAAGGAAGACCCTAGAAGGAAGTAGTTCATTTTTAGGGTCTGTTCAATCGAAGAGCTTTTGGCCTTCGGGAGGTGACAACCCTCCACAAGCGAAGCCGGCATCCGAGAGTTTGGGGGCTTGATGGTTTCAAGCAGGTGGATTCTGTCTAGGCTTGGGTTTTGGATTTCGGGGTGTCTGAGGTTTTGCGGAGGACGGTTTCGGCGTTGAAGGGCGGGAGCACCTCGCTTCTGTACATACAGCTTGCTCCTGGCCAGATTTATGTCAGAACGCATTCCGAGTTCAGATGAATATCTCTTGATCCCTGCAGGCGAGACCGTGATGAGCTAGGTATTTATTACCTACGGAGTTTTGCTCCAAAACCCAACATTGACAGCAATTGACACGTTCGCTTGCAGGCCTGGGCCTCAGCAGCCAGACCCGGATCAACACTAGCGACGACGTGCAGACTTCTGCGAGATCGAATCGAAACTGTTCTGAAGGGCCAAGTTCCCCTGCCATCCCCTAAACCTCAATGCTTTTCGACGGGCCCGAATTCCAGCATCCTGAAGACCCTTGTCCGAATGCTGGGCAGGGCTGCAGCTGACGCGCGCCAGACAGGCCGGAAACCCTGACACATGTATCTACCAGTCAAGCTGATATGTGTCTGCTAGCTTGGTAATTCGGGCAACCGTTGCTGGAGCATGTACCCCGTAGCTACATTGGCATGCGCAGTGCATTCTTTCTTATCCAACTCCCAGGCAGTGCTTCGGAGTCGGATTCGGGCTCTGGTTCAGAAAGCGTGCTTGGCTGAGCATCCAGAAGCAGATGGCACCTTCCTTAAGACTGGGTTTCGACGATGTAGTTGCACGAAGGAGCATGCTGTTAACTTGATACAGTGCTTATGCATGTTGCAACGAGGCCGGGCCCCCGGAACCGGCATCGAAACAGAAGCCAGTGAGGCTTGAGGCGGCGGGGTTCAATGGTGCTGCCATCCGCAACACTATGCCCCTTCTTAAACCTCGATCCCGCTAGTGAGTAGCGATTGTTTTGCCATGTAGGAGTTCCAAAAGGTGGAACTGGTAACATAAGATGATATCTAGTTGAGTTGTACCCACGTATACGCATGAATACACATACATACATTCATTCATAACGGCATTCGGACGAACGGTCTCAGTCCCAGAAGAGCAAGAGGGTCATAGGCCATGGCGTTTACCAGTAGCAGAGCTGGCCAACTACCACAGCACACGTTGGCACTGGAGAAGCATTTTCCCAGTCGTATGCCGCATCTGTACGGGAACACCGCCGAACCTTGCGGTGGGCACCGCAATTGGTGAGCGCTTTCTCCAAAGAACTAATGACATGTGTCAGGTCAGCGCAATAAGCCAGATGCAACTTCACGGTGTTCTTGTCCCAAGCCTTCCTGAACCGATGTGGACCTTAGCCGCAATCACATTGGGGTCACTCCCTTGACCAGTGATTTCCATGATATGGGCCTTCAACGTGTTGCCATCTTCCTCACTAAGCGGCATTCCGCTGCAGCTTTGATCAAGGTTGCCCACACATGACTATGAACAGATCCCAGTGCGTCGGTTGACCTCTGATCGCCCTTGGCATTCTTGGGCTTGTCAGCGTGATTCTTGGCAGCATCGGTAGCCGCAACCACCAGTCCACTGTCCCGAGGTAGCAAATATGTTCTCAACCCTGCACAGCTTGGCAACAAGTTCGAGCAACTTGTCGGCATCACTGGCATTGTCATCTCCCGGCTGCGTCCTACTCATCTTGGTCGGTTTGGCATCCTCTTCGGCTTTTTCAAACCACGACATGCTGGGCAACTGCGGAACGAGGACGAAGGCAAAGGCACTACTTGAAAATCTCGGGCAAATGTTGAGCAATGCAGGCGTGACCCGCTTCCAACGTATCATGTTCAGCATCGCAACATGGGCGTACCAGCAAGCAAGGCAACGTGACCAAATGATGAGTTGCACTACCAATGCCCGTACAACGTTGTAACCGCCAGCTGGTCCGTATGTGGTTCTATGTAAGACGCACACTTGGAAAGACATGTTTGCAGAATGGACACTGGTTACAAATGGCCGGATGCACGTGACCATGCGAACCACCCACCGTACACCGAATGTGCATGGTAAGAGCTTGTGGTGACCGAAAGGTTGCTGTCTGTTGCTGTACTCTGCTGGCCACCTGCGTCAGTACAATCACAAGTTTACATAGAGCCCTGTTCATCAACCGCCTGCGGAGCCTGTGGGATACCCAAAGCGTGATCCCTTGTACCCGGCGGTGGAATGCGAACACCGAGATACTCAGCCGGCATCTCTCCACGGTCCACGTGCAGAAAATCCTGCTGAAATGTGGTACAGACCAATGAAAATCTTTGCCCAATGCCGAATAGCCTCTCAGATGTAGTGTCCATGCGGAGCAAATCAGTCACATCTTCCTCGAACTGCAAGGCCCAGGGGTTGGCATGCTCTGAAACTGATCCGTCTGCGCAAAGTGTATCATGAGCATCATAAGACAACCTCCCGAATACAGCCGCAAGCAATGCAGCATGAATTCTGGCCACCGATTGCATACTTCTTCCGGACGCAGCGAGAGAAGTTCGCCTAGCGGGTCGGTAGCCAAGCCCTGGTGGGCTTCGGCGCCTCAGTGGACGCTAAACTACTGCACCACATCAGGCCACACTGGCCGTCAATGTATACTGCCTTCATCCATTGGAAGCTGTAGCCGCATGACCTAAGTCAGTAGAGGACAATCGGATGGCCCAGACAACATAGGCATTGCAAGGCAGATCAGAAAGATCAGCAGATGTGCATGCTCGTGCTGCAGTGCCATCCTCTGTGATCCACGTGGAATTCTTTTCCTTCCAAATGCTTCGGTAATGCCCCGAGTCAGCAAGTGTTCCATAATGCACGATGGCCGCCACCACATCAAAAGTGCAGAGTGGCACCTCTGGAGAGGTATCATCCATGTAAACAGGGATTGCAAGATCATCGAGCATGCCACTCGCACGCATTAAGTCTTTGACGGTACGCTTGCGCCGTCCCCTCCCCACAGCATTGAGCCTCATGAGCTGAAAGAGCACAACCTTCGTGTCAGCACTGAAGGCATGCTGAATGACAGAGTCATCTTGAGCATGCCACTGATCAATGAAGTGCTGCAGATTTGCAGTCCGTGTCAGAGGAAGAAGCACAGGTGAAAAAGCAGGGCCTGAGTCAACAACCTGACATAGCCCCTCCACAGCTTGCCTGGCTTGCCACACACCCGAGAATAAAGGCGAGCGAATCCTGGGTGCAATATGCTGAACAAATTCGGCTGCATCATGTTGGCGATAGGGAGTGTGCTGATACATAAACATGACCCAAGTAAGCAGCTTGCTGATGTCCAAAGGCGCTGAACGCTCACACAGCGCCAGGTAGGCGTGTCTCAGCTGGCCCAGATCAGCCTCATTGATAGAACCAGTCCGAAGCGCAACGAACAGCAGCACAAGCAAGGCATTGTTCATGTAACATGTTTTGCTGGTGGGATTGGCAAGGCAGACGGAGAGGAGATCAAGTTTGTAAAGCTCAGCGGTGTGAGGCTCGGACCTTCACAGAAATTGCTGCAGGGATTGCGCAAGGCTCGAGGTGACCGGACGGTCCCGGCGGAGTCTGGCACCGATGAGGTGAAGGACAGCACAATTGATCAGGGAGTTGAACAACTTCCACAGAGCATCGTCCTGTCTCAGCTCGATCTCCAGAACAAACTGAACCCATTGGGTCTTGTAGTTTTGACTCAGCGGACGAAGGCTGCCAAAGTGGCGTATCGTGGTTCCACTGATCAATCGCTCGATCTCGGCTAAGTCCTGGAGGAGAGAGTCCACAGAGCGACTTTCCGTCCACGGGACCAAGATCTCCTTCTGGGTGACCGGATCCCATTGAGAGGAGCCGTCTTGATAGTGACGGTCTAAAGGACACCTGCCTCCACCGGAAGACTGATACTGAGAGTGGTCACAGGAGCATTCGCCCAACTGGTCGCAAGAGCCTGGATGAGGCCAAGTGCATGCCACTGGGTCGTAGTGCAGGAGGACACGGTGTGGGAGGCGGTGGGCCAGCAGGTCGCACTGGATGGATGAGACCATTGTGGCAGCAAGTCGTGGTCGAGGTGGGAGCATGGGTGCTAGCCTTGGAGCCGCCATCGAAGCCCTCGGGGTCGTACTGGGTGCTGCGGTGGCTAACAGGCGGAGCATCAACCGGCGTGAGGTGGGGTTTAAACGGGACTGCCAGAGACTTCGCCAGACCTGAGCCACTGCTTGTGGCAGACCGCCCACCTGTAGCCTCATCCTCATCAGTGCTGTCAAACACGGCCATATCCGCAACCATGTCCTCTTCCAGTGAGAGAGATGATGGAGGTCCGCCCCATCGATGCCTCCGGTGAGAGCCTGAGAGCCACCACTCTTGCCACCTGCCGAACGTTTGCCCATTGAAAAGACACAAGACAGGAAGGGACACGGTCACTCAGCAGGGCGAGTGCAATTTGAGCCCAGCAGCTGGGGGTAAGAGCAAGTGGTGTCCGAAGTGACATCACGTCCGCACAAGGCGCCACATACCAAGAGGCAGTCTCAGGACCCCACACAGCACGACCAAGTAGGAGGTCAAGCACAGGACGGTTCCCACAACTCACAAACCTAGTGCACGGGACAGGCCACAGTATCATATGCACAGACGGCAGAATCAGGGGCCAGGCACCAAGCGAGGGAACCTCAAGCCTGCACCAGCTAACGAATGGACAGCACACGGTCTCGCAACAGGCAGCTGAGGAGCGCACACCAGGCGAGGTAGCCTCAAACCTTGGTGGCAGCACACAGGGAGGTTAATGTGACCCGTAGCTGCACAATAAGCCGGAGGCTGCAGGCGAGGAGTCCTCTAGGAAGTGCCGGAAGAGGCAAGGAATGGTGAATCTGAGTGATAGGAGCGTTCGTGCTGAGAAGAGCACTCCATATGAGTGGGCTGACCTCAGGGGCGAGGCTTCTTGCCAGTTCTGGGATGTGGCCTCTGTATGCCAGTCATTGAGCATTGAACCAGCAAAAGCCAAGGCATCCAAACAATCCCCACTATGATCCAAAACCCGCCTGTCCAGAGCCCTCCAAGTGATGGCAGCTCTCGTCCCAGAGCGCCAAAGGATAGCACCTCACGTACAGCCTCAGTCCATGGTATCCAGCAGGGGGACCGTCCTGAGCATTCTAGCAGCAGTGGCCTGCAATTCCCTCCGATCGGAGCATCGACTCGAGGCTGCAGCTCAGTCGAAAAGAGCAGGCAATCGTCCTTCGTGAGGTAGATTGAGGAGCGTGCTCTTGGCCACAAGACGGGATGGTGAGCCTGAGCTTTGTAGGACAGAAGGAGTCATCAGACTCCACGGAATTGTGGTCCTGACCTGAGGTGTCTGTCATGACACTGTTGTCCTGTACAGCGGCAGAGTCTCCAGGCTGGGCATGCAGTGTGCATGACATAAGCAGAATCAGAGCAGCTAGAAGCATCCAACCTGCACGAGTGCATAAGTGCACACCGTTGACCTTGTTCACCCTGCTGGTCTGGAAAAAGTGGCCCTCCAAATCCAGTCACCTCACCAATACCTTCTGGCTCGAAACATCCGTGGCGTTCATGGCTGCACCGACGGCTTAAAGCCGGAACCCCGAACGCAAGAAACAGACCCACAACAAAGACACCCCCAGACACCCCCAGGGGGCTTCCCCGACTCGCTTCGTAAGTCGCTGTGAGCCTTACCGATTGCATACACATGCATACACATACATACATGCATGCATGCATGCATACGTACATACTACCTACCTACCTACCTACCTACCTACATACATACATACATACATACATCATATATGCATATGATGTTGCATATGTCAACGTACACATGCATGCATACACAAAATTATATACCACTTCATACCGTGTAGTCGATGAGTGTAGAATGGAATGGAATGGAATAAAATGGAGCAGAGTGGGCTAGACACACCATACGTTCAACAGAATCGAAGATGCAGTATCTCACAGTATACCACACTATGGTATGGTATGTTTTGCACTCATACTTGGACTGACTTCTAACACTTCTACTACTACCGTTACTATACAATACTAGACTCGACTGGCCTACGTGGTGTGTTACAGGTTGTAACACAATCGAAAGAAGAAAACAATGTGAGAGAGAGAGTACACAACCTTGAAGTGGTGTGGGGAACCCAGTGTTCTGTTCACCGTAGCACTGCTTTCCACGAGAGGACCAACCCACGGCCCCCGAACACGAGGCACTCCACTTTGTGCAGACTGAGCCCACCCACACAAAATAGTGGATGGGGTAGCGTGCCTGCGCGGGGCGCGAGGACTGCTCTTGCCTCAAAACGTTACCCCGAGCAAAGCAAAACAAAGAGAGGGAGAGACAGAAAAAAGACAGGCTGAAAGTGAAAGAGCGAGCTTAGCCTCCACCTCCCGCCCAAGAGGCAGGGACAAGGGCACCCAAATAAGAAGCCGTGAAAAGGCCAAACCTCCGCCACACCGCGATGAGAATGCCACGGAGGCGAATTTGACCGTGGGCCGCATCCAGATCGAGCTTTCGAGCCCCGGGCTCGCCAGCCGTTCAGCAGTGTTTTGGAGACTGAACGGCTTTATGCCATTCAGAAGAGCGAAAGGTTTTGGAATGTTCATCCACGCGTTGTGGCAGAAGCAGGCGGTGAAGTGCGGCCAGGTGGTGTTGACACATTGGCCAGCGTGCTGAAGTACCTTGCGGAACGTCTGGAAATGTCCGCTTAGAAGGGGAAGTTGGGAGGTCGGTGCAGGGGGGTTGCTCGTGGGGCCGTTGGTCCTCACCCGCCCTATGCACCCTCGACCCGATCAAACGCCAGGCCGGGGGGTGTACATAATAATACCATGCAATGCAATGTAGTATAACTTGTTGAAAAAGATCAAACCAGAAGAGTAGAATGTTGTAGCGAGAGGAAACATCATACATATGATGCATATGTAGTAAAATGCGAGATATTGCCATGTAATGCAACATCGCATACGAGCTGTCAAGTAACATAACCTAATAGATGTAACACAAGCTGAAACGGTATACTACCATATGCCAGGGTTCTAATGTTAACATAGCATGGTACAGTTTAGTGTCTGCTAATATTCATATCGTGCAGATTCGTGCAGTATCATATAATATGTCTTCAAGTGTTTTGAGCCACCAGATTCCAAAACATGCTCTCAAGCGTCATCATGCATTTGCTTTCCGTCGTCTTGTGGCCACTGCAAGCCCGCAACGTACGCGCATGGCTTCCGGGCTTGCAGAGCCATGTTTTCGGTTTTCTGGCACCGGCAACACCACCTGACACTAAGACGGTTGGCATGTCAGGGCCTGTCATTTCCTCCGACCATTGACAAATGGCGGATCTCTGCTTTTCACAAAGACCGGCACTTCAGCTGTGCTGGAAACAGCCGGACAGCGTCCTTGAGGTGGGCGGCTTTCTGGACCCAGAAGCACCAAAGAGGCAGGAGCTGCAGCCGCTGAGGTAGTCGGAATATTCTTATCAAGCGACTCTTGCATGTCAAAAATCTTCAAACAACGCCTCCGAAATTCCGGCAACCGCCTGGGACAATTCAGCAACGTACTGGTTTTGGGACATTTCGGATTCCCTCAGGTCCCTTGTCGTCTCAGCCACCAGACTGGACGCCTCCACTCCCGGACGTCCCAGGCGATCGGTCATTAAAAACAGGAAGTCCGCCGGGAAGTTGGGATCCCTTGTCTTGCTTATTCAGCCGGTTCCTGGTCCACTGCAAAGGCATCTGAACTCGAGCCGGCTAGCCTTGCTCGTCGTGTTTGCTGCACCTCGCCGAGTCCGCTTCAACGATATCAGGGTCAAACCGCGCACTGTCAAAGCAGAACGTGCCGTCTCTGACCAGGCCACTGCAACGTTGCACACGTGTATGAAGCACGTGACCCCTGTTCATGGACCGCTCTGGTGTTCATGTTCTTGTGATGTGCGGAGTCTTGGCTCACGTCGCCAGACACGGCAAAGACAGTTTTGAGGGACAGCACATCTTGCCAGGCCCTGCGCCAGACTGGAAAGGCAGGATGTCTGAGAAGCTCCGGCAAAACACCCGACAGACCAGGGTGTGCAGCCACGGGATCATGGCAGCGGCTGCTGGCGTGATGCCTTGCCTACACATCGGGTCCTCTCCCAGAGCTTCTCAGACATCCCGCCTTTGCAGTTTTGGGCATGGGAGCGGTTTGCCTCGCCGCTAACGTCTGGCCCAAGCCTTACTAATCCTTTCCTCCGAAAATATGATTCAAACAGCGCCTTTCTGGGAGCAGTTGGCAGGGCCTGGAATGCACCCAAAGATAAGTTGAACAAGATAGCATAACTAAGGTTTATTCGGAAGAGCAACCAACAGGGCCCGCAGGAACGTAGGACTGCAGGCAGTCCCAGAGTGCACCTTCTGCCGACGACGCGCGGGCTTGACAGGGCTTCGGAATTTTGCAACCCCTGTATTCATTAATTGGCGACTTTGGTGGCACCTCGCCTCGAAACTTGCTGCTTTTAGGACATCACGTAGACGTAGATGCTCCGAAATGTCGGCAAGGACGAGGATTATTGTCTGAGGCAGCCTACATACAAACTTGGCCCACAACAACTGCCGACCGTAATGGCAACAATACAACAAGCAATGCATAATGCTATTTGTAGTACAGACAGTAAGCATAAAGTAACAATAGGACTATGAGTAGCATTGGTCATAGTAGTTACAGCAACAGCAGCAGTAACAGCAACAACTGTAACAGTACAAATTGCATACACGCATAAATACATATATACACATGTAATTGTAAAGTCAGGAAAAGCTTGCATGCATTTGTCAAGACATGAGCAAGCGTACCAACCTCGACATCAGAGATCCAGCACACAGGTTGAAATTGTGAAAGGCGAAGGGACGCATGCAAAACAGCACTTCTTCCACTGCGAAGCAGGCGGCGCCGAGGAAAAAGCCAATTCTGCAGCCAGCGAAGCCGGAAAATTGGCGCGGAGACTCAGAAGCCTTCAACCCCAAAGTCTCGATCCTTGTGATACTCAATGTGAGATTTTTTCACATGTTGGTTCTGTGTCAGTTAACTTATCAGAATTTACGAGGCGCCAGCAGCCTGCGCCACCGCAGCCTCCGCCTCCGCCTCGATCTCGAGAAAGACAAACCGTCCCAGAGATCAAGGCAAGCATCGGTTTTCAAAAATGTGGCGGCATGATGGGGCCTGAAACTCGCGACCCTGGCACTGGACCTGTGGCACGACTTGCTCCAGACACTCTAAAACATTCGTGAGACATGAAGTAGCCAGCTATCATCGACAATTCGAATTAGGGCTCAAAAGCCGTCAACATGGCCCCGTTTCTGTGCAAATCCGTTGGCAACACTTTGAACTTGCTCAGAGTCTGGAGGCTGGGTTTACATTTCGGACGCCTCAAGCACTCTACAGCCTGATGACCTTGCGGTCGCGATCAATACACACTTTGTTGCAGGTTCCTGCGGCCACCTTGTCCGCTCGAGCCACACGCTTAGCCCGGTGAGAGATCAAACACGAAATCAGGGTGTCAAAAGTCTGTGTCTGCAATACTGGGCGCAGGCTGCACTTGCTGCAGCTACATAGGGTCTAGTGCTACACGACAACGACCACTTTACAGTTCATGCTGGTCGCTTTTTGCTGGGTTCCGATCTTTGTCCGGTTCGTCCCGAGTGTTTCCGATCGCTCTGCTCAGGTCCGCTTATAGCCTGTATAGAGGTGCTTCGCAAGTCTCTGAAAAGAGATGCTGGCGTGCAGGTCCTCCGACATTTGGGAAGGAACCACGCCTGCCGCCTGCTGTTGCCACACAGAACCGCAGCAACGAAGAGGGACACAACGTCTGGTCATGCGGCATATGCGGCATGTTCCCAGGCCTGTTAGGAAGCTCGCGCGTAGACGCACGGATGCAGAAGCCACCGTCGGCTGAAGCACTCGTGGCACCCCAAATGGCAAGCGGCGAGCGCAGCACGGTCCGGGACCTTCGGGCCCCTGGTGGCCGCCCTTCTCCGCACGTTTTCGGCGTCGCGGCGCGTTCGTCGTTTTGCCTCAGCTCGCGCTTGGACGCGCAAGAGGTGACCTTTCAACGCAGCAGTGTTATAGGCCACATAAGCCAGTCGCAGAGGCTCAAGGGCTTGGGACCCGGCACGGCCAAGCTGTCATGGTAGCTGATGTAGTAGATTCATACTTCTATGCCATGTATCGCATCTTACCGTGTAGATGTAGTTAAGCTATGAAAGAGTCGTTCTCTTGATCTTGTGTTGCTACTTTGTGTCTCAGCTGTCACCAAATCAAGCAGCATCAGACCGCCCTTTGCACGCGTGTTTCTCGAAGCAATGCTTTGAAGGGTTGCGTTTGCCCTGCGTGGTCGCCTCGTGCCTCGATGAGTGTGCAACGTTCCATCGTTTTGCATCCAGATCCAGCGTTGCATCAAGTTCTGCAGCGCTACATTGTTTCACATGTGGTGCTGCCATGTGCTACCTCGCATAGTGAGCGCAGTGCTGAATGCCTTGCTGTCTTGTAACTACCTCGTCGCACATGCTATACGATGGTGGATGATGTAGCACTTCGTATCCTGAATCCTGCAATGCTTATGCTCTCTCGCCCCATGCAGCCCAGGCATCGCAGCTGCCTTTGTGGCGTTATCTCGCCCCGGATGGGCAGGCATCAGACTGCTCGAGCAGTCAGGCATGAAACCTGATCTGGCGGAAAGCAACAAGTAACAAATGGTCACTGGTATCAACCACGAAATTCAAAAGTTTAACGCACGAGGAGCGCCTGAGTTGTGTTTTTCTTGCAGATGTCCCGTGCGGATTGTGGTGCAGTTTGTAAGATACAGAGGTGAGCTCTCTAGTTTGCGTGCTTGCGTGCGGGCCTGGGATGAAGTCCAAGCCAAGCTCACTCGCTGTATATAAATGTCCTTCCTTAGGTTCCTACTGCAGCCGAAATCGCCATAATCATTTAATCCTGATGCCTAAGACACGATCTTGCGGGCGTAGGAGCGGCTCGCGATTCGTTCGGGGCCGGGCCTGGATGCACCGACTACCGGCCTCTCCTTAGGATCCGGGGAGGTGCACTCTCAGAGACTGGGAGTTTGGGGCGGGCGGGCATCAGGGACAGAGTAATGTAAGAGCTGATGCTTCGCATGGCTAGTATAAGCTGGGCATGCAAACTTCGTAGGTAAAGGTCTACAGTCTAGGGCGGATCTCGAGTCACGGGCCTTGGGATCGGACGTCGGTTGTTTTCAAGGCTAGTTGGATCGACAGTCAGATTGATTGCGGTCGATAAACTTCATGCACACGTGCATTGCAGCCAGTAGCACAGCCGAGCATGGCACGGATCAGTTGCAGTTGGTACATTACGTGTATTTCGAACTCGTTTGACCCATACCATCCTGTCCGGCGTTTCTCCTGTGATTCTTGCTCCGACGGACCGATTGCGGGGCTATGTTGCGCCTTGCTGAAATCGAAACAGCAAAGTCTGAAAACGAGCAGCACGAAGTCTAGTCTTCATGATGTCACGAGGGGATGTTGCTGTGGCTTGCTGCCGACGTCTCTTGCCCTACAGCTTTAAATTTGGGCAGCATGTGGCTAGAAGTGATTGCTTGGAAGAACACGGACACCAAACACATTGGCGGAAAAGCCATCTAGATACAAACATTATTACATGTTGCTTGCTCTGTTTCGTGTGCGCTTCTTTATGAGCATCTGTATCCATGCCCGTTTGCCTGCCTCTCTATCTCTTTGCGTGCATGTATGTATGCATGTGTGTAGCTGTGTATACTTTATATATGTATGGAGAGAGAGAGAGAGAGAGAGAGAGAGAGAGAGAGAGAGAGAGAGAGACAGAGAGAGAGAGAGAGAGAGAGTTCACACTTTCATAGTCATATGCAGACATATAGACATACACGTGTACATATGTACCGTGTACCGTTGCTTGAAGTTTTACCTTGATAGATCGAGATATATGTATATGTGGATATATGCTTTGTTGCATGCACCCTTTCTCCATAGATGTGTGTCTATATAGGGCAGAGTAGCCGCATGGATGGACTCACTAGCTGCTGCCGTTATCTGACTCATAGGCTCAGCAACAAGCAGCAAGTGGAATGGAGTAGAAGCTCTGGAGCTACAGGAATCCGGAGAAGGGGGTTAAGGCGCCTGAGGGTTCAGTGCCTAGTGTAAGACCTAGGAATTGTGTCGCATTGAATGCAAAGGCCCAATGTATATAGGGGTTTGCAAACTTTAGGGTCTAAGCCGGAGCATTTCACCAATTCTTGAGTTCGAGCCCGTCACAGGCAGTCGATGTTCTTTCTCGCCTTTCCCCCGACGCAGGTGTTTCCTGTAAGCCTGGAAAAGCCTGGCGACGGCGGTGTACTCTTCCTGAGGACGCCAGATACACGTCTTCGTTGCTGGTTGAATGCATACATGCCCCTGAAAACGGCTTGAACGCTCTACGTTTCGAACTGGTAGGTAACGTGATGATGTTGTCATGATGTGATGGGCATGCAGAAGCTGTCGTTCCTGTATCACGTGCTGGTGTACCCTCCTCTCACTTGTGTAGCTGATAGCTGCGGCCATACCATGACAAGAACTAGAAGTACAGTAACGCATTCTTATAGTGACAACGTGACAGTCGAAGACCGGCCAGCTTTCGTGCAGCTGTTGGAGCGAGATTGGCATCATTGGACTATAGGTAGACTTCAGAATCAAACTTCAGATGCCGAAGACTGGGACCTAGGTTTCTGCGGCTGGAGGTTCGGGTATTTGTCCTTCATCTCAACCATTTGGATGGATCGTAGCCTTGTGCAGTTATTGTAGAGTATAGGTATAGGTTTCGTTAGTTGTTCTACGCTTATGAGAACATGTTTTCGGCGGACGTACACCTAGAAGCCCTGAGAAGACGGAAGCCTTGAATGAACAATAAATTGCCCAAACTTCCGGATAAAGCGCTGGCGTCTTGAAGTCATGAGCAGATTGCACATTTTCGTGAACAGTTTGCGGTGCATCCGAGTCCTAAACTCTGGAAAGGGATCTGCACCCATTGTGCGAAGCGTGCGACAGTCTTTTTTGTGACCGTCGGTAGGATTGGGATAAAATACAGCATTCCCCAACCCTAGTCTCTTCCTAGACCCCTTGTATCGGTTGTGCCACGGCTGAAGCATCCAGGATCGCAGACGGTCGAGGGTGGGTGACACGGGCCTGTGCTTGCTGCGTCAGGTTCTAGAGTCTGCTGCAGGGTTCAGTGCGGAGTCTCCGATATCGGGGATTTTCGGTGCAGGTTCAGAATTTGGAGCGAAGTGGCTGTTATGCCCTGTAAGGTTTGTTCAGGGCCGGGTGTTTGACTGCAACATCTGCAGCACATTCGGAGTGATGTTTGCTGCAAGTGCAACAAAAATATGTCTATATGTGTGTTTACACATACAGTTGCATGCACAGCCTGTGTGTCTAAGACGTAGATAAGAGGAGGAGAATGATGATGCTGGTCATCATAAGACGGTGGGCAACAAGCAACCTTGATAATAACAGAGTCCTTTTAACGATAGCACGCATCATCATCAAAGTCTTCATTGGTTATAGCAAGATTGCTGTGCAATTCATTCTTAATTCGTGTTTCCGTCGGGGCCGACGACCGCTGATGTGAGCCGGCTGCAGAAACGACAACTACTGACAGAACCGCTCGTCAACTTCACCAGGTCCAACCATAAGGTTTGGAAAGAGCATCAGCAACAACAGCAGTTCAGTCGCAGAGGCACATATAAGGTGCAAGCACACCCCTCCAAAGAAAACTATGACTAAGAAGAAGCCTTCAGTGGCCAGCTCAAACTGTTTTCGAAGGTCTCCCAATCACAGGTCCCAAGCCGCCCCTGCTGCTTGTTCGTAGATTTGGGGCCAGGGCTTTTGGGTGGTCCTCCAGAACAACTTAGCCTGAGCAGGAAGAAAAAACACAGCATGAGATGAAGAAGTCGAAAAGTAAAGCCTGTGCGTGTGTGCAAGTGTATAGATGTACATCACATCAACAAAGACAAACCCAATCTGGGAAGAAAAATGAGCACTGAAGCCTGAATCCGAAATGTCCCACTGCTTCGCCAGGTCTTTGACCGTAAGTGCGGCCGGGCGCGGAAACGACGAGCCCGACCTCTTTGCGTTCCCTACCAGGCAATCCGGGAACCTGTAGACCAACAGTAGTTAGATTGTCGAACAGTGCAGCGACTGTGAACCACTGGTTCTCGTGCCCATGGATCTAGTCATTGTGGTTCTATATGCTGACTAACTACTCCTGGCATGATTTTGGCTGCTCTCCTGTTGTGCTTATTGATAGGCTGATGATGACGATGATGGTGATTTCGATGACCTTCGCCATCACCATCATCATCGTCGATATTGTGCTGCCATGATTTCAGAAAATATTATGCAGAAATCGCTGTCTTGGTCTGCACTTATTAATGCTTCGACGAAATCCTCATCGGGAGCCCGAGGTACCTTCCCCCGAGTTCCGGCACCCTGGACCCAAGTTCTGCACAAGTCTGAAGTTTCCCTATATGAGTCTGGAGGAAGAAAGAGATACCGTAGATGTGGTGCTGCAGCTCAGCCCGACATCTCCGCAGCCGTGCAGAACGAGAGTTTTATTTCGGACCCGTGTTATTGCGACGGTCGGTCCTTGCCAATGGCCGCTGCTTCCGCAGTGATAACCACATCGGCGCCAGCAGCTGCGGCGGAGACAGCAAAGCCGAAGGCGCAAGAGGTGGTCTTTTGGAAGCTCGATTGCAAAGTGACGTTAAGCCGAGTGACGCGCTGGCACAAGGCGCATTTGCTTGCTCGCATTGTTTTTGTTGGTGGTGGGAGGTGTTTTGCAGAGCAGTATCCAGCATCTGCATGTCAGCAGTTCTTTTCAGCACAGTGACCACAGCTCACGACTGTGGTCTTCTCGCCTATGCCATGCACCGTGCCCTTCCTCCATAGCATGCTGTGTGCAGGCCCGGGTGATTGAGTTTACACATACTTGCCAACTGCAGGAGAGAAGCGGCAGCAGCTGCCATTGGTGGCTCGATACATGCCCTCATCGAGCAGCCGATCACTACTCCAATCGAGGCAGCCATCACACAGACGCAAGTCAATGGGATTCTCGTCCCCATGCTCCGCACCTTTCACTGATTGTATCCAGATATGTAGCCCTTCGTTGCCGAAAACTTGAGGCACTTCAGCTGAACATCTCGACGGGAAGGGCTGCTCTTGCAACACGCGCCAAAGTCCGCTGAACACCAAAGTCTCCTTAGATGAACTGTTCTGACGGCAGGAAGGGTTCTTGTGCATCAAAGAGGCTACCTTGGTCACAACAGCAATCAGGAACTTCGCAAGCCAGTGCAGCCGACCAATTCAAGCCCTGCATACAACTCCGCGAAGCATCACATCCCCTTGCTAAGACTTGCATGTGAACCACAAACCCAAACAGATGATTTCTGGCAGCTGCCACATCCTTGAAGTCTCAATCGACGTCGTGTCTTGCCCTTTCCAAGGAAAGGCTTCGTTTGGAACTTCAAGGACCTTTTTCGACAAGGCACCCTTGCTTCCAGAAAAAGCCGATCTGCAAGATAAAAAGTTGGGAAGGATTGCCACTACTGCGTAGGCTTGTTGTCTTATCTAGTGCTGGCTCCTTCTACATTCTCGACGAGAGCAACGTTAACAAGTATCTCTCTCACTAGTGGGAAAAAGGGTTCGCTTACTTTGAAGGGGCTACTCAGGAACCTAGGACTCTTATCGGTCACTGTAACATAGCAAAAAGGAATGACAGTTCGTCTGGGATGTGGGGATGTGGGGATTTCAGGGTTCAGGGCTTTGGATAAGCATAAGCATTGCAACAGCTTTGACTGTAGTCAGCATTCGCATCCGAAACCCGGGCGTGGAAAAGGTGACTGATGAAGCAGAACGATAATCTGATCCACGCGGACCGGTGGTGGGTCGGTAAATGATGAGTTCTAAGGCCATTTCAAGTCAACATGAAGCAAGTCTGAAAGTTGTGGGGCCTCAGCGGTAGGATTCGGATCTACGGAGTGTCTCGAATGTTTCGTCATTGAGGGAAACACGCTTAGGCCCGAGGATACTTTGCAGGTGCCTCCAGTTGAACGCTGCCCTAGTTTGGAACGACTCTCAAATTGAAAGAAGATGCATAACAACATCCAGTCTTGAAAAGGCTCGTGTGCATGCTGTGACTTTGTTTGTATGCCCCAAGTAAAACTCACAACCAGCTGGACAAACTAGATCCTCGGATAGATCATGGAGAAGGTTCGGAAGAGTAGGAGGCAGAAGTCGTCGGCACCGAGAGACAAAACACACCCAAGTTCCCCCCACAATTAGGTTCATCTTCGAATCCTTATACATACAGTCTCTTGAAAGGCGTCAACGTAGCCACCAGAGCATGGCTTTCAGCTCTTGTCGGCGCAGGCGCATTGTACCGCGCGCTCCCGACAGCATTGGCCGGTGCCGTTCCGAAAGCGGTGAACCCAAGCTGGAATGAGTTTGGGAAGTGAAAAGTTCAAGTCCAACATTGAGCGCAGCTCAGGGTGGGAGGCTACAGGCTACTTGAACATGTGGAGAGAATGAGCGTTTTGTTGACCTGTTGACCAGTTTCATCATGGTACCCGAAGAAGACATCTGCATGTCGATCGCGACAGGGTCTTGGGTAGCTGGTAACGTGCTCTGGCAGGCCTGGCTCTTCAGGAATACTTAGGTCTAGAGCCCTACCATATCACACCGCAAATGTCGCCGGATACTCTTTCTGTCTATCTATCTTTCTGTTTGCATACATATTAATTTTAACGCTACGCCGCCCGCCTCGGCTCTGTAGCGGCAGGAAGCCGGGCAAGGGGGTGGCAAACGAACGCAAAAACAGGGTGTCTCCAAACTTTTGGACTGCAGGGAGGAGGATTAGGTGGAGGGAACCTGAGGTAACCCCCAAGACGCCTGGGCCTGTGGCCTCGGCGGATATGTGTGTATATATATATATATATATATATACATACACAAAGATTTAGATATAGCCCAACTTCATCCGGCCGAGGATTCACTATTCCATCCTGAACTTCTACATCAACTCGTTCGCCCCCGAGGGCGATATGAAGAAGGCGGATGGCCGAACCGCGACCGGCATTGGCCGCAATGCTTGCACTGGTGCGGTGTAGGCACTTAGGTCTCAATGAGAGCTTGTGCGTTTGAGATACTCGCCTGCTTTCGGGATAGCAAAGCCTAGTTTGGGTCGTTGCGCACTTGCCTTGCACAGGTATTCGCAGTGTGCTACTTTGGCATTTCACCTAAGTTGCCTGAGAGACGGGTTCTCGCGCATGTCTGACAACAGGACTTTAGCCCAACTTTTGAGTCCTCTAGATTGACGGTGCTAATTAACCCACAACCCAGGACTGCTAATCAAGCAGCTGCAATCCCAGACCCTTACAAAGTATTTACCTGGGACTTAAAACTTCCCAAACCCTCGACCCTACGGCCCTACATTGCATTTCAAATCCTTCTGCAGTGGCGCTTGTCTGCCAAGGCATGGCCACAGGGGCCTCGGAAGTCGCGTTGGTGAACCCCATCAACTTCGTAAAGTTCCGTATGCAGAGACCTGTGCCTTTGGCGGTTCAATCCCTTGGGTGGTTACAGAAGTTAAAGGGCTTGAGGATTCGGATGGAGGGGGCATCTAGCTGTTCTTTCGGGCCATGCGTTTGTCGGGAGTTTTCGGGCTTGGGGGTTTCAAGATTTGGGGTTTCCTCCTTCCAAAACTTAGAAGCTGTGGCTTCCTTCGGGGCAGAAACATGCAAAGGCAGATGTAAGGCTTCATGTAGGAGCAAGTTGAGAGCTGAGGCAGCTAGGGTGTGTCGCTCTGAATGGCTTGCCTGGCACACTCACTAATGAATCAGGGGGGCTTGGAGATGGCTTACTTGTTGTAAATTCTTCGCGTCGCCCGCCTCGGCCCGGCTGCAGGCGAAGAGTAGCCTACTCTAGGATTTGAGGCTTAAGCTTGTTGGTTTGACAGTTAGGCACCGCTGAGGCCGGGAGTTAAAGGGTCGGACGGGTCAAGTGTGCGGCTGCATATGGACAACTGGAGGCCATAACATTTTGTCGAACGATGCCTTGACACCAATCAATGAGTCCACAGAAAGCAGAAGGGTTGCCTACCGAGGCGAGGCGAGATTAGGACAATTTCTGTCGTCCAAGGAATGGGGCTACACCGGCATGGTCGATGCAATTCAGACCATCTACCGCGTGGAAGGTGCCGGCGGGTTAGCCTGAGCCATGCTTCGAGTATTCCCAAGACGAGTTGGATATGAGGGGTGGGGCCACTGTACCTACGTAAGCGAGCTCCATGATCGTGCGAATTAGGTGCCTTCTTCCCTGGCAGGCGTGGGAGCTTTTTGGAAAGGTGCCGGTGCTGTTCTTTGCCGAAACACCATCTGCAACGGTGGGATGGTGGGTGGTTATAAGCTGCTCTGGCTGCAACATAAGCATCTTAACTCAGTCTTCAGCCTCCCAATTAAACTTGACTTTTGGGTTCTTTTGGCTTGCAGTGTCAGTGTCCAGCATCTACAAGGCTTCGTCCCGGCCTTGAAGTCAAGATCCACGTCCCACTAGATTTCTGATGGTGATGATGAAGATGTTGGTGATGATGAGGAGTTATGACAATGCCTATTGTTACTCCTATAGACTGTGACCGAAGACACTGTTGTCTTTCGTGGTAGCGTGTGGCAGTGGCAGTGCCAGCAGCGGTCGTCGTCCTCCTCCTCCTCCTCCTCCTCCTCCTCGTTGTCCGCCTTGTCGTCCTGATCGTCGTTGCAGTGAGCAGGAGTTGGAGTAGCAGTAGCGGTACGAGTAGGAGGAGAAGTAGTACTCGTAGTAGGAGCAGCCAGCAGTGGCGGTAGTCGTAGTGGCGGCGGCACTGTCGATGGAGGAAAGCTTGCACCAGTTCGAGTTGATGTCCAGTCCTGGGGAGGGCGTGGGTTCCACTGACAAACTTTCACTAGCCACATGGCATACAATCATCAATATTGAACAGAGGGCGCAGGGTCCTGGGGCTGGGCGATGTTACGAGCATCTGGGCGGTGCAGGACTTCCTCGAGCCCCCGACAGAATCCTTATCAGGGCAACAGTTCTGGGTGGTTTGGCCAAATGTCTCGCGTTGCCCGGGATGGCGACACGGCCCAGAAGCTTTTGCTTGGTTTTGCACAGTTAACGCTCAGCTAATGCCCAGTTAGCACTACAGTGAACACTGCCGACCTGCTCAAAAAAACCAGCATTCTCTCCAATCCAAGCATTTAGAGCAATCAGGTCGGAGATTTCTCTTTTGTAAAGTGCAAATTTCACAAAACGTCTTTTGCAGCATTTGGCAGTATTAACTCTGTAGTGTTAGCTGTCAGGAAGGTACGAAACCTCATTATACCTTCTAAGTCCACAACGCAGATCGAGCCTGCTCACCATGAGTACGGGGAAAGCCGTCCACAGGCACATTCAACTTCGCAAGCACGCCTTTCCAAAAGCATATCCACTCGTAGAAGCTTCTCCCTATCTCGAGTTGGCGATGCTGACCGGTACTGTTGGTGGAGGAAAATTTGCACCAGTCTCAGTATACCAACAACGAGAATACCCTGCACGCCTTGGTTGGCATCGATGTCCAGATATGGGGAGGGCCGCGGGTTCCACTGAGAAGCAACTTGCACCAGCCACATAGCATACGATCGTCAAATAGGCCCTGGTGATGGGCGATGTCACGAGTCAGCATCTGGGCGATGCAGGATATCCTGCATCCCCGGTAGTAGTAACAGTGGCAGCAGCAGCAGCAGCAGCAGCAGCGGCTGCAGTCAGTAAAGCAGTAGCGTTAGCAGTAGTGGCAGCAGCAGAAGTAGGAGTAGGAGTAGGAAGCACGAGCCTGCAGCGCCTACGTGGGGTTTGCATTTTTGACTTTGAGGTAGGTGGGAGGTTTATTTGGGCGGTGGGTTCATGTTGGAAACACGCCCGTCCCAATAGCTTTCCGCCCTCATGGACGCTTCGGGCCAAAGATCTAGAGCAAGATGCGCAGTCTCACGCGCGCGCGCGTTCGTCTAGCGAACTTGTACCGCATATACATATTTGACGTTTGTGGCAACAGACACACCGAGCAAGCGCCCGTTCCAACTACAAAGTGCAAAAGCTCTGGGATTTCTTGTATGTTGGTAGCCTTTCAAGTTTAAATGGAAGTTGTCGACAGGATGATCCCGGCAGTTGCAGGCGATGCTTGTAATACTAGCAATACTAGTAATACTAGCAATACTAGTAATACTAGTAATACTAGTGATGCTAGTAATACTAGTAAAGCACCAGTAGTACTGGTAGTAATTAGTAGTAGTAGTAGTAGTAGTAGTAGTAGTAGTAGTAGTAGTAGTAGTAGCAGCAGTACTAGTAGTAGTAGTAGTAGTAGTAGTAGCAGTAGTAGGAGGAGTAGTGGTAGTAGTAGTAGTAGTAGTAGTAGCAGTACTAGTACTAGTACTAGTACTAGTAGTAGCAGTAGTAGTAGTAGTAGTAGCAGCAGTAGTAGAAGAAGCGTTGTCAAAGAAATCCCGCCAGTACTTTTCGGGGGAACGATTCAGCTAGTGCTCTCAAAACGGGTGAGGTGCTCAAACCCTGGCAGGGCCACACTATGAGGCTTCTCGGGAACGTCCGTGTGGATTACTTTTGGGGATCGTGCCTTCCGTGCAGTCTCATCGTCGCCTGGTGGTGGTTCTGCTTCCTGTTCCTGGTCGAGGCAGTGGTCGCGGTGATCCTGTTCACGCTGTCGTCGTGGTCAGTGGTCAGTGTAGTGGTCCCGGTGTTCCGGTGCTTGGTGATCATGGTCGTCGTAGTGGTGGTGGTCGTTGTGGTCGTCCCGGCATCTTCATTCGGGGTTCATGGTGCCTGATCTTCGTTGTTTGGGTTCTCCGCTGGCAAATTAATGCTTTAGGAGCCTTTTTGCATGACTCCCATCAGCCAAAGGTTCACAGAGATGGCTCTCAACTCCTCTTTTGACATTCCAGATGGGCCCAGACACATGATGGCAGGGGCCTGTGGCGGAGTGGTGGGGTCCTTCGCGACTTGGAAAATTGGACTGTCAGCTGCAATGCATAGGGACAGTTCACCGTATAGGGTTAAGCATTCACTTGACCTTCCCTCCTGTCTCACACAATTGAAAGGAGGAAACCCTAGACCGTCCCAGACGCGGAGGTGAGCTATCCGTTTGAGATGCTCCGTGCGGCGAAGACGCATAACATCTCCTTCATGGACGAGATCGTGTCCAAGGGGCCGAAACGAATTTTGGCAGGCGGGCCGTGCCGGGACCGACATGTCGGTGTCGATTCGTTCGAGGGCATCATTTCAGCATCGGCCATTTGCAAGACGCCAGCAATGGGGCGACCTTGTGCCCTGGTTTCAATGAGTCGTGCATCGGGTGCGAGTGTTCGTTTAGGCATGACAGCAGGCTCGAGTTTAACCTAGCTTTATGGATAGATGACCAGAACGAAAACCCAGTATTTCAAGGGGTAGCAAGGTTGCACAGCTAGACGCTTCATAAGTTTTCAGACGTCCCAGCCATCTGCGCGGACACGCACACCTTGTGCACGAAGTTTTGGTAATAGCGATCGACGATTACTGTTATCCATCGTGCCATGCATGATTCAATCCCTCAGCCTTAAATGGCATCAAACCTAAACCCCAAGAACTTGGAAGTCTGGGTACGCCCTAAGCCCCAGACCCTCGCTATGCGCTCGAAGCCGTAAGTTCTCGCGGCCGCAAAGTCCGGACAGCTACCATCGCTGCGCTCCCAAAGCTTAGTGCTTGGCATGAGCCGATGACCTGAGGGGTCCGTGTATCACTTTGGGATGGAATTCCACCCAGCCTCAGCAGAAGTAATTTGGATCCAAGTGTTGTCAGGCTGGGCACCAGGGGCAGTGCGCTTGGTGGTCTCCTCAGCGATCATGGGATCAATCATCCCACACCTCAAGGCCGAGCATGTCTTTTGTTTTGCCTCTTGGGTTTAACAGTCAGGAACTGCCGTTTCAAGCTGCAGCCATCTGTAACGGAATGGCACGACCTGAACTCCAGGCCCTAAACGGCTCTCAGCCCTTATCAATAACTCCAGGTCCATAGCTTTTCACTTCGGGGCTCCTTTTCGGAGAGGACGGAGACAAATTTCATCTTATTACGTCTTTGGTCGAGCCCCCTATGCAGATGCTCAGTCCGCTGGTTCATGCTACAGACTGACCGAGTTTTCAAGTTCGGGGAAAGGACTCCTGACTACTGTACTGGCTGTCATTAGCGTGCATCGGTTCTTAATCGGAAAATCGGACATGTACGAAAGCCTGCCTCGGACGAAGTTCAGCCTTCCTGCTCCCACGTCGCCTGCAGGCACCCATGCCAACACAGAACCTCTAGCGAGAGTCAAGACCCACCTCCCAAGCGGTTTCGCAGATAGGGTCACCCTACCAGGGACCCCAAAGAATGCATGTAGGCCTTCAGCAACTCCCTCGTCATGCCCGGACGGTGAACAGCACAGAGTGTGCCGGGATGAGCCGCAGGGCTTGAGCCTGTAGAAGATCTCATTGACGTGGCAGGGTCTTGGAAGTAGTTCCCAGAACTTCAATCCCAGCGGCATGGATTTGCTGTTCAGAGACCCTGCACAGGCTCGTGTTTGCTTCTCAGTCTTTTACTGATAGAGGGGTCTTCATGACAGCAATGTGCTGAAGCGGTATCTTTTGATCGTCCATGAAGCTCCTGTCTTCCCTGCTTTGTGGAACACGCGATGGCAAGTCACTCACTGAAAACAGCACGGGTGATGCCACGCCAGGCACTTAGCAATCTATAGCCAGGTTGACGGCACGGGGTTCAATTCATCGTACGTCTTGTGCAGACATCTGCGTGCGCACCGAGGGGTCAGCCACCCGGGCTGACCTTCAGTGCGTGGATAAAAGCATCCACGCAACAATTGGCCGATGTCCAGTGTTCGCTTGGTGCGCATGTCGACATGGTGACAGAGTCATCTCATGACCTGTGCCTGTGCTGTGCTCAGCAAAAGAAGTCTCCGTTCCTCGAGCCTTGCGATGTAAAGCTGACCTTGAGTCGGACGGAGAGGCTCAGAGAGGCCTCAACTTTACACCAATTCCTGTTGGCGTGTGTTGCACGTAGCTCAAGTTAATGGCGGTCGCAGCAGTCGTCGTCCTCAATGTTGCTATGTACAAGCACTGGTTTTTGGAAATGCTACTGCTATCAACGAGCTTCCGTCTAGTGGCCAGGTCCCACTTCTTGAAGACGACGGCGACCGCAGCACCCAGGCTGGACTGGCTAAGCGAAGAGCTGAAGCAACTCCACAGACCCTCCGTGCCCACATGCGCAACCAGAGAGATAAAGATGAACAGTTAGAGATGCGTGTGTGTGTGTGTGTGTGTGTGTGTGTGTGCGTCTCCTAATTATCGGTCTGGTGGGTAGGAATTAGGAGATCAGTTTCGCGATCGTTGGAACAGACTTGATCTATCTTTTCCGTGGCCATTTTGGCGATAGCCGATCGGGCCATACCGAAAAATTCGGCGTGGGAGGTGGAAGTGAATAGGCTCGCTCGATTGCAGCCATGTCGTTCCCTCCCGCCGGCTTCCATCAAGGTCGGCAGATGGCGGCTCCGATGGCCCCACAGTTCGGGTTGCCTCGCCGGCTTGGTCAGCCTGAGAATCCGGGAAACTGGGGACACTACGTTCCAGGCGAGGCAGAGGCTCCCGAGAATCCCGCGGCTTCAGCCGCCGCATCCGGTGATTGGGGCTCTGGAGGCTGGGGTCGCGACGATCGTCGTGGACGTCGTGATCGTGGTGCTCCCGCTGCCCACAACCCTTTTGCGGTGCAGCGACCCGAGTTCGTTCGCCAGCTCGTGGTCGAAGAGGAGGACGAGACCAAGAACTCCCTCCTCATCATCGACAATCGCGATGACCGGGTGATCTCCCCGTTCCAGAACTGGCTGGCCGAGGAGATCATCTCGAATGCCGCCAGTTCGATCAACGTGCTCACGGAGCGGGACCTGGTCATGCCCCCGAACTCGGGCTACCACTGTTCGCTGTTCGCGAACTATACGCTCGACGGTATCAAGGCAGTTCTGCTCTTCTCGATGACTTCGAGAACAGGGGGCCCATGTGCTCAGTGGGACTCCTATGCGAGTCGGGCGCTATCGCACCCTGCTTTCCAGCCCTTCACGTGGCCGGTGATGTTCGACACCTCGGCCACCTATGTGGATGTGAAGGTCTTCAATGGAAATGAGGTCCTCTTCCATTGGGTCTTCAGGGGCTACCGCTCGGACTCAGATCTCTCTGTCCAGCAGCAGTTCTGTGACGAGGTCTTGATCCGGTCGGCCAATGAAGGATGGTTCCGACCCTCGATCGTCATCTCGGTCTTCGTTGGATGGAAGGTCTCCGTGACCTCGTTCGAGGTCGGAGCCCGGGTCTACACGATCGGCCCGAGAGGAGCAGTGATGGCGAGTGATCATGCCATGAGCACTTGTGAGCTCAGGGTGACGGATCGCTCATCGCGAGAAGGCTACGGGAACGATGCCGATCGTGTTGAGTTTCGGTTCCGGGACGCCAACAACAGGATCGATCTCAAGTGCGGGAGGACTTCGGTGCCGGGCACGTGGCTCACGGTCAGCCACATCTCGGGCCCCGCCTTGATCAGCACGATCCAGGCCTGTCGGAGCCAGCGCGCTCGCGTGGAAGGTCCGGACCACATCCAGCAGTTCGCCCAGCTGTCTGCGGTGATCGCCCCCTGGTATCACAGTGCGTTCGCCGGCGAGCAAGGGCAAGTGGGAACTGCGACAGACGAGTTCCCAGTGGATCATGGGAACTTCCACGTGAGGGCTCGATCCAAGCTCAGGATCTGCCCATTGGAGTTCGTCCGGCAGGAGGCGCTCGCCCACCGGTCGCACGACGAGAACAACGCCGTTCGAGCTCGGAATGGCCCCCCGGCTCTCATGGACGAGGCGGCTCGGCAGCTGGGCTCCTCGGTCACCTCGGCGCTCACAAACATGCCCACCTCGGCTCAGCAGGTGTTCGACCAGAGGGTGAGCACGGTTCAAGTGCCCCGCGATCGCATGAGGGCTGACATGCGCTTCTCGCGCACGTCGGCTGCGATCACGCCTCAGGTCTTCACCGACGTGCTCCAGCACCGTGAGCAGGCGGAGTACGAGCGGATCAGCACGGTCAGGGTGGAGGAGACGGGCCAGGAGATCACCGCCTCGGCCTCCACCCCGACCTCGGTGCCGAAGGCGTTCGCCCCGGCTTACCCACCGGCCAGATCGACAACGGGGCCCTACACGATGGACACTTCGGAGTAGTGTTCGATCGGGGCCCAGATGACGGTCGGATTTTGTGCACGCTCCTAAGAGAGTGGTGCGCCGCGCGACCGAAGCCTCCTGGCTGATCAGCCAGCTCTTCCGCGGAACAAACATGCCGGGCGATCCTCTCGGCGCGCTAGATCCCAGCGCATGTTCTGCCGGAAGTGAGTGTGATCATGACCTGTCTCAGGCACGGCGCTCGGTTGCCATTAGCAGGCACGTGCGATCGTCTGTGCAGCTGTTCAGGCCAAGCATGGATAGGTCCGTTCGGAAGATCCTGTCCCTCCCTTTGGAAACCTGACCGCAAACCGCATGCGGAACACCTCTCGGTTGATGCCCTTCGCTCGAGGGCCTGGGAATTTCGATCGAAGGTGTTAAGTGCGATCCGGAGATCTCCGGTTACCGAGCACTCTCCTAAGGTCTGGGAAGGGACCATGGAAGACGTTCGAGAAGGGTCGGCGATCGGTCCCTTCTTCGACGAAGCCGAAGTCTCGGAGTTTGTGGGCGATGATCACTGGATCCCTACTCAGCGCTTTGAAGTGGTCCAGAAGAACAAAGTCAGGGGAGTCGATAGTGCTACCTCTAATGGGATCAACATGGCGACGATCGTCACCGAGAAACTCGAACTCCCCTCGACGGACGCGAACGTGGCGGTGATCAAGTGGCTGCGTTCGCGGCTACCAAAGTCCCCGCTACGTGGTTGGGTTCTGGACGAGCGGCGGGCCTATCGGCAGGTACCGATCTCCCCGGCCCATCGCAAGTGGAGTGTGGTCGCTTTGAAGGATCCGGCCACGGGAAAGGTGGCTTTCTTTGTGATGGTCGGGCACTCCTTCGGCTTGGTCTCGGCCGTATATAATTGCAACCGCCGCTCGGCTGCGATTACCGACATTCTAAGGCGTGTGTTCATCGTGGCCGGCTTCAATTTCTACGACGACAAGTACGGCTTCGAGCCGGAGGCCACGGCAGATAGTGCGTTCGCGCTTGCCGAGACGCCGAGAAGGTCCATTGGTGGCTCGGGGCGCGATTTGATCAGCAGAAGCTCCAGCTTTGCTCTGATCCCACGATCTTGGGCGTGACCTACGACCTCGATCAGTACTTGCTCAAGATCAAGAAGTCCAGGAAGCAGGAGCTCTTCGACGAGATCTCGGCAATCCTGGAACACGAAGAGCTGTCTCCTGGCCAAGCCGGGAAGCTCAGAGGGAAGCTAATGTTCGGCGCTTCTCAGCTCTGGGGAAAGATCGGCCGAGCCTTCCTGAGATCTCTCTCGGAGCGGCAGTACTCCCGGAAGACGGTCAGCACGAGCCTGTCGCCTGCTCTCCTCTACTCCCTCTACAAGTGGCGGACGCTCGTGATGCATGGGCCTCCGAGGCCTATCCCTAGTTCGGGGCCGCGGAAGTCCGACGTGGTGATCTTCACGGATGGATCGGCGCCGAGCTCGAACCCCAAGGATCCCTCTTCTGAGATGATTGGAGGGGTGATGTTCACTAGGGACGACCCGCCTAGGCAATTCGCCTCGGGGGTGTCACGACAGGTCATGTCGAGATGGTTCCCCCGGAAGACCCAGATTTGCATGATCGAACTTTTAGCCGCGGTCGCTGCGATACAGACTTTCAAGGAAGAGATCCGTGGAAAGCTGGTCCTCCTCTTTATCGATTCTGAGCCTGTGGAGGCAGCTTTGACCAAAGGCTACTCTGCAAAAGAGGACGTCTGCGAGCTCGTAGTAATTTTCTGGGAGCTTGTTCTGGAACTTAGGTGTTCAGTTTATATCGATCGGGTACCGACCGATTCGAACCCTGCGGACAACCCCTCTCGTGGTGATGTCGCTACAGGTCTGATGTGTGGTTGGATCACTGTCCTCTCGGAATTTCCGAAGGGAGTTTGAGGGCCTGGGAATATCGCTTGTCTGATGTGTCCGATCGGATGATGTTGCGGTCTGTGGTGAATGCCATGGCGCACCCCTCGGTGATCGGGGGTCCGATCGGACTTGTGAAGATCAAGTGAAATTTTGATGATCCGACTGTGGCCGACTCCCACGTTGCGGTCGCATGAAAAAAGTGCGATCGCCGATCGTCTGTTCAGTGAGGGCACCGAACGTCTGTGATCGTAGTAACTGGTCTCCTAATTATCGGTCTGGTGGGTAGGAATTAGGAGATCAGTTTCGCGATCGTTGGAACAGACTTGATCTATCTTTTCCGTGGCCATTTTGGCGATAGCCGATCGGGCCATACCGAAAAATCCCACCCTCTCCGCCCTATCTGTTCTTTTCGGTATGCGGGATCCTCGCAACGACGTTGGCCTTCAAGCGCTCGCTTTTGGCGACACAGATCAGCTATGCCGTCCCTGCGTAGATTGCGGCCTGTTCACCGGCTGCTTCTGCGACGGGGACGGCCAAGACGAATGTTACGCAGCCGTTCGGGTCCCCCGCGAAGACTGGGCTCCCAACCAGCGCACTCCTTTGTGCACGGCTTGCGATCGTCGCTTGGATATGTGTCATTTCTGCAGAAAGACCCCCTGGTCACGCCGCCGGCTCATCGTGATCGCGATCGTCACCAGCCGGCCGGCTACGATCACGGGGCAGATCCTCCCCTCAACTGGGATCAATTAACCGGTGTGCCCTCTGTTCAGCGGCCGGTGCCAAAGGCCCCGCCGGCCAAAGCTGCTCAGAACAGAGGCTTAGATCAGCAGGTCTACTATGTGGATCCCAAGGCTGGTCTGCCGCGCCAAGGCCGAGCGGCTCCGCAGGGGCGTTCTCCTTTGTTCGCCGAGCCTGCTCAGTACATATAGTTCCAGGGCAGCCCCCCAGATCGCTCGACGAGGTGCCCGATGACGTCCGCACATTAGCGGACCGGCTCACTATGTCATTCCGGGGCAGCCCCCGCGGCGGCTGGATCAGCTCCCGCCCGGTACGCAGCTCCCTCCGGGCACCGAGATCATGGTGCCTACGAGGAGCTCGAGTCCGCCGACCAAGGCGCCGCCGACTCCCGCCCAGATCGCGGCGTACCAGGCTTCTCGCGCTGCTCCCGCTCGGACGAAAGCCAAAGCCACTCCTGATGCGGCCTTTCGTGCTGCCGAGCGGCAGTTGATCGATTTGCTCGGCGCGGCCCCCCTCGCCGACGACCCGATCGAGGAGCCGTCGCCGGAGCCGGATGATCCGATCGAAGACTTTTAATTTTGTTCGCGGGGAATACATATATACTTATATATATATATATATATGGACAATCGGGGCAAGAAGAAAGCGAGCAAAGGAGAAAGGGATCTCGAGGCCAGGACGAAGAAAGGGCAGACAAGAGAGTCGATGCGTGGCAACCGGTCGGTACTCTGGCACCCTTTGCAGAGATGTGTCCTCGTTTATTCGTTTAACTGCTACCTGTAGTAAGCACCCAGGTTCATGGAACCACCTACATCGAGTTTCTCAAAATTCTCTTACTATTCTAATTCTGGAGGCCATGGCCCCTCGGGCAATGGGCCCGGATGGTCCACTCCCACTCGATCGCCTCAGCAGCCTAGCAAAGCCTTTCCGGGCCGGCTTCAAGGCCCGAATCGGATCATGTCCGAGTGCCGGCTTCGGGAAGTGGGGGTGTTTCAGCTCGGATGGGTAGAGCGCTAGTGACTCTAATCCGAAACGTGAAGATGGTTCTTGCAATCGCAGTCATGTCGTCGTTTCGTAGTCTTCCCGAAAGCGTGTGATTGCGGTGCTGGTACTGCATAACGTTCGTACTGCTGCGTGGTGTCTTGGACTCGTGTTTAACGATATGGGACGACGTCGCTCCATGGGGCATTCACACAATTGGCCAACCACATATTTGGATGTAAGGAGTAGGGTTGAAGGTGTGAGGCCCAGCAACACAAGGTTTTGTTCACACAGCAGGCGCAAGCTTATGTCGGTCCTGCGAACGTGTTGGCTTACTACTTGCGGTCTAGATGGCCTTGCGGTTCGGGGTTTCAATCACGAGATTCAGGTACTTAGGCCTAATAACGTCCCACCATTTTTGAAGACAGACGAGGAGCACTAAGTTTAAGTTCGAGTTGAGCCCTAACCTGAAACTGGAAACCCTAGACCCCAAGATGTTACTGCTTTTGCAATCTCCGGGGCCTCCCCACCTGGATCAGGCACGTAAGAGGAGATGTACTCATCCCGCGGGCGTGACGGTGGATCCGTACATGACTGCCGATGACTTAGAACAGCGACGCACTGTTGAGTGTTCGGATTCTATCTCATGTTAGCCGAAATTGAGTTCTGAAGCCTAACGGCCTAGAGCGTGACCTCGAAGCTGGGCATGCCCAGCGTTGAGGTAAATGAAGGTAGCATGTTTCTTGGTTTTGGTTGGTGTGATATTCGAAGCCATGAAGGCTTGCGGATCCCACCTCGAAGCGGTCTGGCTTTCATGGGCTGCTTTCTTGGGCTCGGGGATTCGGTCTGGGAATTACTGCATCTGCTGGATTTGCGGTTCTAGAGCGGCGTCCTTGAAGTTTTTAGGCTTCAGAGTTTCAGGAGTAAGTGGACACACGGCAGCTTCAGCGGCAGATCCGTTGAGTCAGCGAAATAAGCGCCGCTGCCACTTAGCCCGGTCACAAGACAGGTGCAAACACAAGGTTAAGTAATTTGGCTTTGGATTCCCTTGGGTGCCTCCCGGACGAAGGAAGCTTCCTTGGCGGCTCTGATCTCTGCATGCACCTTCTGATTATCCTCTGAGAATCATGCATTAGATGCAGTGGTCATGGAGGGCTGATGCCGGGTTTGGTCAAAGCGCACCCATGTTGACCCTGGTCGCTATGTGCCGAACACCTGGGTTCCAATTTCGAGAGGTAAGTTCATTGAGGTTCTAAGAACCGATCAGTGTAAAAACACAGACGATCTTCATGGGCGCCGCACTGCATTGCCCAGCATTTACTCCAAGCCCCGCGCACCAGGTCGGAACCCAGATCGAGTCCGGGGAGGTCATTGAGGCATTTCTCGGCGTAACTGATGGGCTTCGGAAGCCTGAAGTCGAAGTGCCCAGACTCGAGACTCTAAGAGCACGAGGCGAGGGGAGGGTTGCAAGGGGTTTGGCCCCTACACCAAGCCACCCTACATGCACTTACCACCATCGTGCCCTCTCATCACATACATACATCTTGTTGTGCGCGAGGGAACCAAACACCGGTCTGCAAATCCGGTCTTTCAGCGCTCGAATCGTTTTCTTCCCTGTGTTGCAAAACCTTCCGAAACCTGCAACCTTGACGCGGGAAGGTGGGTTCCGACGACGATGGTGGCCCACGGAAGGTCGCAGCGCCCGATTTACGGCTACTGCTGGACTTGTGTACTGCAGATCGGGGGTTGAGAGTACCCTAGGATGATGTCATGCAGCTCTTGCAGATTACCCGATTGAAGCTCTTACCTCGTCGCTGACTGCATTTCTTTGCCAAGGCCAGAAAGGTTAAAAGGCCCATTGTGTGACGCAACATTTTCACGCAACAAGAGCTGTGTTGCGGGTTCACAGCCACTGACGGAAGCACCCAAGGTCGCGAATCTCGTTCTGTCCAAAGCCCATCATACAGTCCCCAGTTTTGTTTAGATTTGAGTTTGTCCCGAAAGCTTGTCTCAATGTTCTTCACTTGCTTTGTTTTAGCAAAGTGGTTGATCGGAGTTCAGGCTGAGCAGCTTGCAAACTGCAGCCTCAATACTTGTGGGGTCACGGTTTGGCGTTCCTCGAGCCTTAAGCCTCTTCCGATCATGAGCTTGAGAACAGAGGCGGTTTGTCATCCCACGTCCGCATCTCGCCAAGAGAACCACCCGAGCCCTGCAGGAGGGCTCCAAGCTGGGCCAAAAGAGACAGATCAAGGCAAGCACTGGGATTTTCCAGTTGATTAGCCATTCATGCTACAACTCAACGGCTGCCGCTGAGAGGGAGGACAGGACTTGACTCTGGGACCCAAGTTATTTGGATTTGATGCTTTCTGCATGCTTGCCGATGGTGTTTGTAAATCTCTGTGGCATACTGTCGAGACATTGAGTGCTTTTGCAGCCTTTGAAGTACTTCGTCCGAACTTCTTCTGAGCAGATCTTCTTTCTGGGTCTGTTGTCTTGAGTGTGCTTCTCACAGAACAATCATGAGCTGCAGCACTTCTGAAACGGTGTCCTGAGGGCCTAGGGAGGGTTTGGGAAGGAGGGCTTCTTGCGGCCGCTGATCGTCACGCTTCGGCGTTGTCGTATCATTTCAGCAGGGAGTCGTTGCAACCCTTGACATGGGTAAAGGCTTATGGCTCCGTTTTGTCGTCAATGTCCAACACAGACTAGGGTATGAACGGCCTGTAATCATCCGGCAACCTACCATACAGACCCCGAAAAGGTCCAAGATGGTGGTCGCCCATCAACCTTGAAAAAGGCAAAGGTTTAGGGGAGGAAGCCACCTGCCCGTCCATGTATGGGAAGTGCGTGGAGTCTTTGACGTTTTGCGGTGGGCCGTAGCATGAGTCGTGCTCTCCGGGACCCCACTTGTTGCATCAGCAAGATGTGGTTTCGGCTTGAAGTTCGGAGCGATTCCCTGCCTACCATGCGTTGTTCATTATGTGAAGAACCCTTATGCAGCTGGAGGATAGGCATGCCCTTCTCATAACTTTTGAAAGGGAGCTTCCCCCCTTCTCAACACTCCATGAGACAGCCCACGCGGCTTCGTCCGGGACACCTCGGTCTTCCGTCAATTATAGGGGTGCGGGCTCCAGGGTTTTATCCTAAGCAGTGGCAGCCTCCAGGAGCAGCTGAGACAGCAGCTGGAAAGAAAGCAGAGCGAAGTTCAGGCCCCCATGCAAACTGGGAACTTGTTTTCTGGGCTTTTTCACTTAAGCGCATGTGTCTCCGAGGGTTTGAATAGAATGTTCCTTCAGCCAGGGCCAAGTATGACTCACTCTGTCTAGTCACTTTATTCCAGACTCCGGATGGGTGTCTGTCCGCGCACTCCGACTCAATTAACTATCTGATCTATCTGCCACCTGCAACGGATGCAACAGGAGCAGTACGGACGTACAGCATTGCAAGTGTGATGCTGGCCGCCATCGTAGGCAGCTTCATCATCATGATTCGCACCCTTACCCTTATGCCAGCGGTGAGTGGCGGTGAGTGATTTGAAAGTCTAGGCCTTCGGTGTCTAATGGGGCTTGAACTTCCGGATTCGTTATTATCATGAGACCTCTGATTCAAGCTTTCAGGTTGAGGGTTCAGGTTTCCAGCACAGCCTCCTGACCCAGGCTTCATTGACTCAAGCTGACCTTCCTGTGTTAGTACCAGACAGTCTCCCGGAAAATTTTCCTGTTCAATCTAGAAGAAGTACCGACGGTTCGATGTAGCTCACCCGTGCCCTCGAGCACCTGTAGCATCGTTCATGTGAGGTGCTTTGTTGTCATGACCCTCGGTTTGTTCTCTTAGCTCACCTCAGCCAAAATCGTCCTAAACCCCAAGTCCTCCGTCCGGACGGCTGTCCTTCATGGCTCAGGCTCTGCGGAACAAGCTGAATCAGCTTGACTCGGGGCAGGTTGGAATGCTTCAGCCGAAACCCTGCACCCTGCTCTTACTCCCCACCAACATCCGTACAGTCCGGGTATAGCTTTCCCCGAAATCCTGCTTTGGTTTTTGGAGGACGTCTACTCAAACCCAAATCCTCATGGGTTCCTCGGTTTAGGACTGAAAAGACTTTCACAGGGCCGATCTTGGTCTCATCATACTGCGTGTGACTAATGTAATGAGCTTACTGTGGCCCTTCGTTGTCTTTACGACTCTCGGGTATAGCGTGGGTGTGTCGGCGCACCCAGAAGCCCGAAAACGTAAATGACAAAATCTGAACCACCTTGACCCCCAAAAGCCCTGGTGCCCGTGGCATTCGATCTCTGACTCGTGTCCTTCAAATCCGATCCTACCTATTTCCTGCTGCTGGGGCCAGGCGTCTTCGCAGTTGCCCGTCAGGCTCCACCCAAGTAGCTTTTGGAACACCGATGCACAGCAGGGTGAGGGGGCCTGCTTAGTTGCAAGTTTGGTTGTCGTGCCTAATTTGCAGCTTGAGCCCTTCGTGCCACCACTCGAACACATGCGACTGGCAAGAAATGCATTAATCACTAGGCAGCCTATCTGATTCCATCAGCCTCACGCTGTGAGTACTCACCGTCGTCGCATCATCACCGGCACCATCCTCATGGCAATCAAGCTGTTGAACTTGGAATTTGCGCCAGCTGCAGCCCGTTGATTGCTACAACCAAAGCTGGGATGCAGAGCTCCTCGCGGTGGAGAATCTGAACCCACGAGGATGCCCACCTGGCAACTGACAGACTGCAATGACACAGACGAGTCCTCAACCACAGGGGAAGCGAGATTCTGCATACTACTCCTCCCTAGCTTGGAACTTGACTGCTTCCCGGTCCATCACACAATGAAAGCCCGTCTGCCTGCTTGTCAATGCTCAAAACACACATTGGAGAATGAACTTGGTAGCTTGCTGTCAGCAGGCCGATTGACACTGGCCATTGCCGAGCTTCAGCGAATGAGCAGTTTTCATCGTCGTGGTTGATTTGACAGCATGTGTCCACGAAGATACATCAAACGACTTTACTACTCCAGCACACTGCGATCAGACGACGTCCTGAAAATGACCCAACCACTTGTGCCAGGAGAGTCGTGATGAGATCGTCGGATGACAGCCGCATGCCTGCCACTTTTGACACGTCGGTACCGGCTTGAGTCCGGGATCGCAAGAACCCAGACCATGGCTTCGACTACCATACTAAGTGTCATACTCAAATGCTAATGACAAGTCATGGTGGCAACACAAGCTGTTCCGAAACTAGATGCATGTGGCCGGATTGTATCCTGCCAAGAATAGGCTGGAGATCAGCACCGAGAACATAGCGAGGCAGGTCGCTTGTATTCCAAATTCCCCAGCAGCCGTTAAGAGGTGGTTACGCGTTTGTTCCAGCGCAGACCTCGAACAGCGAAAGAGCGACAAAGAAGTCTACGCGCTACAGACCGAGGAACCGTTCCGGCAGCACTGCACATGCACGGACTAGGTAAGGCCAGAGAATCATTGAAACCCCAAAGCCATGAAACCCGGACCCTGTACGACCCTAGAACCTCCAGTTCTTGCAAACCGGGCTGCAGAGACCTTCGGTTGGCGGTCCTTGGGAAGGGTGGAGAGTGAATGGTTTGGTGATCAAGATTAGGTTTCAGGATGCTCAGGTGTAGGTCAGAAAGCTGGGGCATCGGGCTTTGTTTGGGCTTAGGCCGAGTTTGGGCTTTAGGTCTGCGTAGTATCAGGGGTTTGTCCTGGCAGTTGTCGAGTCTTCTGTAGCTAAAAGGCTCGTGTCCTGATCATGAGAAGGAAGATCACAAGAGCAATTCGAGTCCCGACACGGCCAGCACGCGCCACTCAGGATAGAGCTTATAGCGGCGAGGGCAGTGATAAGAAGACCGCATCAACAACAGTAGCAGTGGCCGTACACATCATCTGACTCCACCCGCCCATCCGCCGACCACCCATACATAGCATCCTTGGTCGCCAGGAACCGTCGGCACGGCAGAAGCCCCGCAGGCGGTATGCAACTGTAGAGTTAGCCAAAACCAGCGTCTTATGATTCAGATTTAGGTCTTGGGATCTCGATTCAGGGCGTGGCAGATTGGCGATCAGGTTGGGGGGGGCCAATGTTTTAAGTTTCGGGATTGGTGCTGAATACCGGACTCTCCGGACTGTTGGAGTCCATGCTCCCAGACAGTGAAACGCAGCAAAGCGGCGGCACTTTCGACAGGACGCCCGTCAGCATGACCCGCTACTGGACGAAAAGCGTCAGCAGTTGCAGGCCACATTCCTGGGCCTCGGCTTATAGAGTTTGCCAGAGAGAGAGTAGAACAGGGGCAGTGGCCTGTTAACAAGGACCTCAAACCCTCTAGGCACCCGAAGCCCGACCACAAGACCCTATAAACTTCGAAATACCTGACCACATACTTCCTCTGCAACAGATGGTCAGGGATGTGAGCACATTGACTTTACATGGCTACCCCTTCCCCCATATACATGGTAGAGGGCTTGGTCTTCAAAGAGTTTGTCATCATGGGAGCCTTTCAAGTCCTAGCATAGCTTTTTCCAGGCCATGCTCGCAAAGAAGAGGCCTGGCTGCACGGGAGTGTCGAGGGGCCAGGTGCTGGAGGTGTATACTGCACGTCTTCCGAGATTGCAAAGTTGGGATAGGATTTTTCGGTAGGGGACTCTTGAGTCAAAGGACTGATGCTGTCTCGCAAAACTCCCCAACCCTTCCGCAAGATTGCCCCACAGCATTCGAGATTTTGCATAGCTTCCAGCGCGATGCGCTGCAAGCAAAGCCGGTCAATCCAAGTTAAGCAAAATCTTAGGCCTGCGACTAGTACCAATCTAAGTGCCAAGCATGCCAGGGCAATGGGGTTTGCGCAAAGTCCGCCTGCGAAGAAGCCGACGCCGAGATTTGTGGACTAGCATGTACAGACATGGAGACAGCGTGCTCCGACGTGCAAAGCTCCCTTTATTTGCTCCCCAAGCTGTGTTGTGTGGGTGTGTGAGTGTGTGACTGTTGTAGGTGTGTGGGGGGTGTGGGTCTGTGGGTCTGGGTATGTGGGTTTGTGGGTCTGTGGGTTTGTGTCGGTGTGTCGGTGTGTCGGTGCGTGTGTGTGGGTATGGGTGGGTGTGTGCGGGCAGGCATGCATGTCTGCATGCATCTGTGCGTGCATGAGTGCGTGCAGGCGCACATAGGCCATGTAGGGAGCTCTAAGGCACGTGGTTCCACTGAGTAGTTGCATCAAGTTACTGAATGCCCATTTAATGGTGCGAACGGTACATACATCTTCAACTTGTACAGGTCAGCCAGTTTGCGCGCAGCTATGCAGTCAGCCTTGTATCGACCCCAGCTCAACCTCCTTGCGCGCATGTGCCCGTGAACTTCCGCCCTGCGAGTGCACGTGTTCATCCCTCTGTGTGCATGCCCTTTAAATCTGCAGCATAGACTCTTGTCTTAGACAGTAGGCCTTAGGCAGCTCCTTCCATCCCCTGGACAAGTGCACCACCTTGACCCGAACCCCGGCACATTTACTGGGGCCCTCAACATGCTTGCACCCTTAAACCATCGGACCCCTAAGCCCATAGCTGCCCTCACTATCGCTCCATTCAACAACACTACACAGTAGCCTCCGCATCTTGGAGTCTCCATGGATACCTTCAGAGCACGCTGAGAAGAGGCGCTGAACGCAAGCCTTGGGTCCCAGAATCAGGGGAACAGACGCTCGAAGGTCTAGTTCGGATAGAAGGGACTGCAGAGTCAGGGGTTGTGGGTGTATATAAGTTGGGGCAACGCCATGTAACCATCACGCAGTGGCTAGCCATATGTGGGGATTGCAAATACCAGAGTGCATGCTCTTCAATGCTAGATGATAGTGCTGCAATGCATGACATGATGCTAGCCTAGGTTCGGGCTTTGGGATTACAGAGCTTAGGGTGCAGTCTTTGTCACTTGAGATGATAAATCGAGACTTATATGAGCACCCAGTAGCTGCACTACTATGACAGTTGATGTAGTGCCGCGTATGGGACTGATTGCAAGCTTACCGCACTGGGGGGTTGAGGTCGAGATGTGTGCTTTGCCTTCCTGGGCACAACAAGGGTCTCACGGTTTCACAGAGCGAGGAAACACGGGACTTCCAACTGAGCCCTTGATACTCGAAAAGGAAAAGCTCAAGACAAGTGCAAATTGAGACCCCGACTTCTGAGACAATTGAGGCACGCAGATCTGTTGCACATGCAGCAGAATTCGCAGGTGATCCTCCGCACCCGAAACCTAAAAGAATAGACCCCGAGCTCAAGCTGAAGCCTCGTAGTGTATGGCCTGAAATGCTTGACATTGACGTAGCTGGGCTGAGGGGATTGGAATGGACTCTTGAACTTAGTGTCATGGGTCTCCAGACCTGTGAAACAGATGAGAAAGCTGCATGACTAGAACGAGCATAGGAACATGAGAGTTTACAGCTAGCTTGGAGCTTCATCTGCGAATCTGCCACGGAGGAGCCTACTCAAGCTCGATTAAAAACAAGGCACTTTGGGATCCCGGTGGATGCACCGTGCTGACCTTGTGGATTGCAGCAGAGCTTTGCATGTGATGGAGCCAGAAGTCGCTTCCAACCCACCAAGCTGCGTACAACAGCAGCTCTGCTGCAAGCCCAGGAAGCTTCTGTTGCGCAATGCTCGAGTTGGTGTGTTTCACGGTTTAAGGTATGGGGTTTTAGTGGCGCTTTTGAGGTTTAGGGTTTTGGGTTTTGTGGTGTGTGCGGGGTTGTTGGTGTGTGTTTGTTTGGTTTTGAGGTTTAGGATTTTTGTGTGTTTAGAGTCTTCATGTCTTCGTGGTGTTTGACGTTTTCTAGTGCTTATGGTTTAGGGCATTTCTTGCTTGATTTTTTGGATGTATCTTGTTAGTTTAGGAGCTTTTGGGATTAGGATGCTTAACTTAAGTTCTGGGCATTGAAATAGCAATGAAAGACAGGGAGCGACCCGCTCGGCTCCGCCTCGCGCTGGGCGAGGCCTCGGCTCTTCAAAATGCCCCCCTCGAGGGATTCGCGGGTTTAAGTGAATTGACATGGTTGAGCCCCCGCGCGGGTTTAAGTGAATTGACGTGGTTGAGCCCCCGCGCGGGTTTAAGTGAATTGACATGGTTGAGCCCCCGCGCGGGTTTAAGTGAATTGACATGGTTGAGCCCCCGCGCGGGTTTAAGTGAATTGACATGGTTGAGCCCCCGCGCGGGTTTAAGTGAATTGACATGGTTGAGCCCCCGCGCGGGTTTAAGTGAATTGACATGGTTGAGCCCCCGCGCGGGTTTAAGTGAATTGACATGGTTGAGCCCCCGCGCGGGTTTAAGTGAATTGACATGGTTGAGCCCCCGCGCGGGTTTAAGTGAATTGACATGGTTGAGCCCCCGCGCGGGTTTAAGTGAATTGACATGGTTGAGCCCCCGCGCGGGTTTAAGTGAATTGACATGGTTGAGCCCCCGCGCGGGTTTAAGTGAATTGACATGGTTGAGCCCCCGCGCGGGTTTGGTTTAGGGTTTAGGGTTTAGGGTTTGGTTAAGGGTTTAGGGGTTTAGGGTTCGCCAGCGCAGCTGGCGCCCCAGGCAATTCATGGTTTAACAAGGGGCTCCGGCCGTTAGCCCTAAAGCGTTCGGTGCCACGCGAACCTCGCCGGCGTTCGTTCGGGGCGGACGAACGACTGGGCGCCGGACGGACGGACGGACCATCTGGACGCGAGGGACGGACGGACGCACGAGCACGCAAACGTAGCGACGCGAAAGGATAACTAAAACGACAATTGCCGAAACAAACTTGTTTTCGTGATTTCGTTCAATTGCAAGCCAAACCCGAGACTCAAATCCGCGCAACTCCCACGTCGAGCCCGCGAAGCCCAAACTTAAAAATGCTAAATACTTGGTTGGACGTGGATGGACGGCCCGGCCTATTCCTCTAAAGCGTTCGTTGCCGGGCGAACCTCGCCCGCATTCGTTCAACCAGACGAACGAATGGACGGACGGCACGGACGGACGAAAAAAAAACCAAGGTCCAGTGGAACGACGGGCGGAACGACGGACGGACGGAACGGACGGCCCGACGTACGCACGGACATGGACGAGCCCTTCCGGAGCCAGGGCCCAGTCTTCGCAGGCCCAGGCCCCAGGTCCCAAACCCCCGCGCCAGCTCCAGCAGCCCATGCGTCCGTCCGTCCGCACGTCTGTCTGTCTCTCCGTCTGTCGCTGTATCGGTTTATTCGTCAGCCAGCTCCCAAGCCCCTGCCTATTCCTTTTGCGTCGTTGTTCGACTGATGGACGGATGGGCGGACGGAGGTCGGACGGACGGACGGATACGGCGACGACACCCAGATCGAACGATCGGACGGACGGACGTATTGACGGAGCCAGCCCATCGCGGACACGAACGTGAGCCCAGCCCCAACCCCAGCCAGCTCGGGGACCTTCTAGCCCCAGCCCGGCCCTGCCCCAACGGATGGGCGGACGAACGGGTGATAGACGGACTATCGGAACGGGAGGGACGGACGAACGCACGAGCAGGCAAATGGTTCGTTCGGGCGATCAGGATGGAAGCGCTAGCACGAGCAAAACGACAGCACAGAAAAACAAAAACGACAATTCCCGAAACAGATTTGTTTCGACCGCTCCTTGAAACCCGAAAACCCAAGGTCCAGAGGAGCGACGGACGGAAGGACGGCCGGACGGATGGACGGATGGACGGACGGACGGACCGACACACACACGGACGGACGGATGCACAGACATGGACGATCCCTTTCGAGGCCAGGGCCCTGTCTTCGCAGGCCCAGGCCCCAGCGCCCAGGCCCCAGCCCCCAGGCCCCAGCAGCCCTTGTGTCCGTCCGTCCGCACGTCTGTCGTTGCGGTTTATTCGTCTTCCATTCGTCCAAAGCCCCAGCCGCAGCTCCAGCCAGCTCCCAAGCCCCAGCCCCCCACAGCTCCTGCCCATTCCTTTTGCGTCGTTGTTCGACTGATGGACGGATGGGCGGACGGAGGTGGGACGGACGGACGGACACGGCGACGACACCCAGATGCACGAACGATCGGACGGACGGACGTATTGACGGAGCCAGCCCAAATCGCGGACACGAACGTGAGTCCAGCTCCAACTCCCAGCCAGCCCGGGCCCGTCGTAGCCCCAGCCTGGCCCTGGCGCAACGGATGCACGCACGGAGGAGCCCCAGCCCCACCGCCCAGTCCCAGTCAACTCAAACCCAGCCCACGCCAGCAACTCCAGTCTTTTCTGCCGAGGCCGGGGGCGGAAGCCACCGGCCGAGGCGGAAGTATCTCAAAATGTAACAACTTTCATATGTGCGCAGCCATACCAAAATTAATACTTGTATATCTGTGCTTTTGTGTATATTTACATTTACGCCGACGTCTACATACATACTTCTTTCTATAGGATCGGATACGGATTTGAGCGACTCGAAGCGTCACCTCAACTTAAACAAACCCTTCCGAGGGCTGTTCACTTCAATTTAATTTCCCCCTCCCGGTAAATTTTTCACCTAAAAATCTATCCAAGATCTTCGTTTGATCTTATTTGGACCTTCCGACTGCTTTTCAATTTTTCAAACCCTGCCGAGGCCGGGGGCGGAAGCCACCGGCCGAGGCGGAAATGTCTTCAGGTGAAACAGCTTTCATACACGCACCCTGTTTGTTGTTACAAAAATGAATCTTTTTCAAGAAATAGGGCTTGCATCTTCCTGTATCTATGTTTTCTTGATATCCAGATGTGTACCTTTTTATGTTCATGTGCACATAAGTAAACATGAGTACCAACCTATATCCATGCTTACATTCTTATCGATAGTCACATCTTCATATGTATCTAGATATAGATGTGCGTGTTTCTGTGTACTTTAGTTCTGAATGCATATTTTCAATTGTACCTACA